TTATATCGATATAATTCCCTGGTTAATTTAACTGATAGCATTCAGAGAGAGTCCCTGCAGAATTGGGTCAATCCATGTAGACCTATAGTTTGGACCTGCACAGGTTGCTGACCAGTGTGACTTTACTGCCAGAATCAGGGGCGTAACCAGGCATACGCACGGATGCACTGTGCGTACAATTTTTTGAGCCAACCATGATATCATTCTCCATAAATTCAGTGTATTTTTCACGGAATATAATCGTACCTGGGAATTTTCAAAGTCTGTGCGTACAATTTTAAATGGTCTGGTTACGCCCCTGAGAATTAAATCTTTACCACTAATCACAAATTATCAAATAATTTATAAAACCAAATTTACAATATCTATTTTCAAAATTCAAGTCTAATTTTTTTTTCCACAGGAGTATGTTCTCTAAGAATATGTACACTTTGACACATTAGATCTGGTGTAAAGAACCAATTTGTATGAGATATAGGTGTATGCTAATTACATGCATTATTACTATATTTATTTAACACAGTTATGCTGGTTCTCACACATCTGATATCTACAGACATGTTTCCAGTTGGGATTGTGTGACCTAAGTAAGTATTAGCCATATCAGCAAGAAAACGGTGAGCTTACCACAGAAAGCTACAAATGTGGCTTACCTGTATTACAGTGACAGTGGGTAAGACACCAGGGAGAGTTGCTCCCTCTGATGAGATAAGAGTACTCAGGCTTAAAGAAATGGATAGTGTCAAGTTAGATCCAACTCTGCTGGATGCCTTTAGATGATATGTTTCTTTTTTGCTGTCTTTAATCAAACACAAGGATGGGTGGAAAAATCAATTTTCACGCCTACACAAACACGTAATCTGTGCATTGTTGGTGCTACATACTAGAGACCCAACTTTTAATCAAAATTAAAGTGATGTATTACCATTCTAATAGTATTAACTCACAATTACATCTTTAATCCTAAGACAAGAATTTAAACCCCCATCCAAAATATATATAAATATACATACAACACGTTGCTTTTAAATCAAAATAATATTAAAATAAATCTAATGTGCATTTGGTTGGGTGCATATATAGCTTATTGTTAATTCCCTTCATGGGAAAAGAAAAACTAAATACAATGCGAAGGACATCATTGCCAAACCTTTGCCTGTGAACACAACAAATCTTCTGAGATTACAGCCTGGGATCAATACCTATCTCAACCATGCTAATACCACAAGCTCAAAATTGTAATTAACTTATACAGGAATGAGGAGTTTCTTTGCTTTATTCACATGGGACAGGGCATAATGCAACTTTAAAATAAAACAGTGAGATGCTTTGTAAATAAAAAGAGGAGATTACTAAAGCACTAACAAATATTACTGCCACAATCAACCTTGCCTTTTACCACAATTGGGGTCATTTTACATGATGAGTAAGGTTTATATAATCGTAATTATAAATATATTACTATATTATCTGTGTATTATTTGTAGCTGTCTTAAACATGTAAAAGCAATGTGGCTGGGAAATTCCAAGAGTCACCCTAATTGGAAAGATATGAAGATTATTTTGTTAACATTACTGTCCCTTATGGCATAACATCTAAATATACATATGTATTGAATGAATATTGACAGTATATGACAAAATACAGTATACCATTTCTTTCTAATTAAGGTTATACTGTACTTAGCTATACATTTGGTTAATTGCAAAGTGAAATGCAAAAAAAAAGGTGCTCAGAAAAAATTTTTTGTTTTTGAAAAGTACCTATACTAGTATGTATGATTCAGTTGCCATCATATAATGACTGAAACATACCGGGGTATTACATTACCTGTCACTGTGTTGATCACACCAGTTCAGTAAAAAGCCCTCTAGACTCACTGAGAATAAATTCAATATATTTACTATAAAAAAAAGTGTCATAGTAATGGGGGCCAGCTTATGTAGCCATATGCAATTTTTACAATAATGACAATAGAGCATAGAGAACATAGTGAACAATGAGGACAGTAAGGCATAGGATTCACAATAGCCCCTTTAAGATAAATTACAATTACCATGTTTAAGATTTACAATTACATGCAGCATGTTTATAATTAATGCTCCTTGAACAGCAGCTGTATAGAAAGGTATAATTAAGTGGCCAACCAGTAATTTAATGTAGACCTTATTAATGTACACTTACCTACCTATTAGTCACTGGAATCTTTTTGAAATCTGAATATACTACATGCTACTAATAATCTGTTATTGTTACATTGTTATTTTGAAATTGTTTTATACTATTTTTATCATAAACTTGGGTATTAACCTCTTGAATGACGCAAGTACTGTGAACTAGTTCAAGATGACAAACCTTATATACAGACTGTGGAGCCTCATTGTCATACTAGCCCTTTTCACGGCTAGTACTTTACAAGGCTACAAACTGAATTCAACACACAGTTTTGCTGTTGACAAAGTATGTTACTTATATATTTATAAATGACCTAGAACACTTTTAAACATGATAAAGACATAAAACAAACTGGTGCCAACTAACAACTGTGATGCCTGGAAATGAAAAATGATATGAACATTGTTTTGAATGAGTAATAAGATAAAGCTGACAGTGGGAATTTAGGTATATATATAGAAAGTATGATCAATATTTGTTTCTTGGAGTGTGATGCATCACTAATTTGTCTCTTATGTCCTTATACTGTACATAGTGCTCCCCTTTATCTAAAAAGTACAAGAAAATATATATATGCATGTCTCTGACTGCTAAGTCCCCTTTTCACTGGATTAAAACCATAACATGGTGGTTATCTATAAAAAACAACATGCTTGGTGATGCATCAATTATGCCTAAACACAAAGCTGAAAATAACTGGTAAGTGCTATAGCTAGCACATCGCTAAATGCTATGCTGAAAAAATTTCAATCATTATCTATCAACTACTAGCCAGTTTCAAACCAAATCCTGATGTTAACCCACTGAAAAAACTTGAAACTTCTGAGACATATCTCATATGCAAAATAACCTATACTGGGGCTTAAAGCAATCTATATTACTAAAATAACTGCCATCTATGTGTCAATCCTCAAAGCAAGGTTAATGAATATTCACAGAATTTCTACTTGTCAGGAATTATCATTGAGACGTCACTTGCTAACAAGGCAGCATGATTGCAAGGGATTAATTCCACACAGATATCAATATTAATTATTATGCACATTTCGATATTTCAGAGATATTATACAATAAAAACAGGCTACATCGGAGTCCATGGAAACATTTATTAAAACAACCCAATATCATTACAAAATAAGCTTATATAATTAATAATATACTCTTTAAGTATCACCTAGAATAACCACAGAACACTATGAAACCACTCTCCCTCACATTTACATGAATAATTTAAGTTCTTGTTTATATGCCAATAAGTCAATGCAGTCTCACATGGAATCTGGTAGGTGCTATTATTAACATATATAGATTTCTCTTCATAACATCCCTATTGTTATTCTAGTAAATCCCAAGATAATTTTTGTAGTGCTGAGATTTGATCTTTGCATGAACCTTCCAATGATAGCTGAAGTTATTCACTAAATTGGTACCTTACATGTACATTCATAAGGACTGGCAAAGAGCTTTATCAAAACTATGTTTTTTGTCAATTTTTCAAAGCATGACAACTCTAGTATGTAAGTAATCTACAAGTGTCTTGTATTCATTTTAAGACTACTCTCTCTCAAACTTTTTAATATCTTTTTTGAGTTTTTAATATTTTTTAGAAAAAGTTTTTATTAATAAAACTGCTAAATGCAGTTGATCACTAAAGATGTAATCTCAATGATAAATAGATATGTAGAGAGAGACGGTGCAATTAGACAGGGATATCACTTTGATCGTAGTCAAAATACCTTTATCCTACAGAAATCTTGCCTGTGAAATAAAAAAAAATTGCTATGCATTACAGTTATGAGTACTATATACTGCCCGACTAAAACCTGTAACAAAAATAATACGATCCTGTGCTAATCAGTGGTTTTCTTGTTAATTAGAAGATCTTTTGCAAAATAATGATTTAAAAGACGGAAAAAAATGGTTCATGTTGTCTTATGTGTGGGACATTATTCAAAATGTATGAAATCATCATGGTATTACAGCTATTACATGCCTCCTCAATATTACAATGTTAAAATCATATTAAACATGCTTCTTTTCCTGGGGATGGGGGATGGAGGAAGGTGGGGTTGGGGAGGGGGAGGGGGAAGGAATGCTGAGCCATGAAAATAGCTATATTTAAATTTGTAGCTGGGGTTCTAAAAAACAATGGTGTGATTTTCACTGTTATAATATGTGGCAACCAAACATTTCATTATAATATACAGGCATATGACCCCTCACGATTTTTAAAAGCACTGACAGTCAGGGCAAATATTAATTATTATATAATTGAAGAAGTGGGTGTTTACATATCTGTTCGTGTTTCACTATCTTGTTTATATCCTATGAAGTAAAATTAAGGTTTTAAACTTACTGCCAAAATCTCTACACTACACACACCAACTTGACAAATGCCATATGTAATGTGCTAACAGCTGCCTCAGGCAGTTCACAGAGCCAGAGGCAAAGAAGCAAAAGCAAAGACCCGTCGGCAACCTATTTTAAACAGGAAATGATGTTTATACCTCCAAAGCAGCTCGATATAATCTTCATATTAAACCCTAAACAAAACGAACCCATTTTAAACCAAGAGACTAGTATTAAGCTCATATACCTACCTTGATCTGAGCTACTACACAAAATTATATTTATTTGCCCTCGGAGGATGTTGTCTGCTTACAAAATATGGCGCTCATGACGTCACTGGCAGAAAAATCTTTTCAAACAATAATAAGGTAGCGAAATATACGTTTTAGTGCATGGACATATGGTTAGTCATGTCACCAAATAAATCTACGGCAATAAGCATTTTCTAATATTTAGTTAACATACATCTCATTTTACCCAGCATACACTGCTGTGGCATGGCGGAAACTCGGATTCAAGCGATAATATTCAAATATAGAAGCTACTGAATAACTTGACTTGCTTTGCTCGTTAGATATATCGGTAAGGCTTAGAAAACACGAGTCGTTTTGGATATCATTAGTGATATGTGCGTCTTTTGTTTTAATTGTTCACTGCAACAAGCTTTGAATAAGCTTATCACCGAGAGGTCATTGAGTTGTTTACATTTTGACGTTCGGGCACCCAGGCGGTGAATGATTGACATAATGAAGTCAAAGAACGAGTGAGATAAATAGCTGAAATATATACCAGTCCCATTATTTAACTTCGGTTTGAATTCATCTAGTACTTTGTAGTAATTTGAAACACGTTACTGCACTATTGCCGCAGTATTTCTTCCTTTGGACATGGAGTACGAGTTGCATACTTTGAATATTGCCGAGATTTTAATCAAATCAAAAATATTTTAAGAGCATATTTATTAATATGGATTCCCATCGGCCGTGTAAATTTCCTCACTGGTCAACATTTAGAAGAAGTTTGTGAGTAGTTTTGGGTTGTAATGAGTGTAGTTCAACCTTGGCATGTGGGGATATCAAAGTGAATGTTCTTAATTGTTATGGTTTATTTGATATTAAATAACATTTTGTTTTATTTTCTAGAGATGTGAATGGATGAAATTATAATGGCATCCTTTTCAGTGGAAAATATATATAATACAATGTGTTTGAAGTCAACACTGGATGAAAGTTTAAATGTCAATTTTTATGACATTTTCTTGTGAACAAAATGCAGGATCATTTCTAAATTACAATCATTTTAAATTGAAGAAAACTTTTTGAGCAAGTGCATGATAAGTACCATTTTAGAGCAAAACAAAATACTTTAATATTCAGAATCCTGCAGGAATGTTTATGAATAACAAGAAGTATAAAAAAGAGGTTAAGATCATGTAACTTTTTACTGACAAAACAATAGACATTATTTTTTTATTATAGGATCAGACCTGTGATTGATATGGGAGACAGTGAAGCACAGCCAAGCAAAGATGTACAAAAAGAAAAGGAGGGAAATAAATGTGACTTGTGCAATATTTGCTACTTGAATGATAGTGTAAGTCAAGCAGAGAATAAACACCTTGATTTTCATTTTCATTGCACTTCATTATAGTAGTTATTGATTGTTGTTGTAAATTTGAGTTTGTTTTCAGCTTTTTGATACATGTCTTATTTATATTATATACACTTGATGGTTGAAATTAAGCAGCCAGGTTGAATTATAATAATAGCATTAGCCCCCCTTCCCCCATTTGCTCTGCTGGAAGCCTGTTGTCTTAAGTAAAATAGTTGCAGTGCAAATGATTTTATTTCATAGTAATCATGTTAATTGTACTATTTTTGTATTGAAAAACATTCACAGAAATAAGTACTAGTACATTTTTGTTTACTGCCTTGTACATTTTAATGCCTTGTAGTATGTGAAGTATTGACAGCAAGAAAGCAATTAATACCATTAGAATTATGCTTTGCAAAAAAGGAGATCATTTTAAAATAGAAAAGGAGGAAAAAGAAATAAATTTCCCTAAATAGAAAAGATAAAGATAGAAAAGGATTTTATATTTAGGATCTGCTTGAACACTATTGGTCCTTAATGCACCACATCAGACTGGAGCAGAGAAAAAGGTAATTTGATCTTGCAAAAATAAAAAATATATTCCTATTCAAAAGTTTGCCTCAATCTCCTTCAGATATTGATGGAATTTATATTATTCCATCATTATTACCAATGTAAAAAGCAAAGTTCATAACAATGATATATTGTTAAGTAGAAATTCAGTTTTACATTGCACACTTCAGTTTCATTGGTTGAAGATAAGTTGTTTTTTGTACAATTTTTAATTTTCTTCAATTTAGAAATTCCGTCCATACTTGCTCGCTATGCTGTGAATCATGTCCAACGTTGCCAGAATATAGCAAACACCTAAATAATGACAGACATCGCAGGAGGGTGGAAGAAGAGCGTAAAAATAAGACAACTTCATCTGCTTCCAAAACTTCCAGGTATGTGTGTGATGGGGTCCAGTCGTTAACATACTTTATTCAGGAGTTTTTGCTTGTTGTTATTTCCATGAACTTTGATTCCTTTTTTGAAAGACAAATTGATAAAAAAAGTTCTTAGTCTAATTTAACTTACTGCTTGCTTTAAAAAATATGTCAACTGTGCAATTAAAATCATTTTTACATCAAAATAGAATAAAAATGCTGTGCTGTGTGTAATTTTAGGTCATTTACTACCGATGACCAAAGGTCACCAAATTCTCATACTGATGGTGTTGAAGAGAACTTTGACAATGACTACGTATGTCAACAGTCGAATGTCAAAATGGGACCCCAGTGGCAGAACACAAACACAGGCAGTTATAATCAGAAGTGGGGCAAGCATCGAAACTGGAAACGGAACATTTCTCCCAACTCAAATTTTGACTCGAGGTCACAGTGGAATGGAAATAGGGATGGAATGTATGAGGAAAGAAAAAGTCCTCTTCCTCCCAATAAATGGCATGGGATGGACCCCCCTCACAGTAATTGGCAAGGAATGGAAACCCATTCCCTTTATAACTGGCAAGAAATGGATCCCCCTCACAAGAATTGGGAAGGAATGGAACCCCCTCCCCACAATAGCTGGCAAGGCAATTACCAGCGTGGTGGTCATGGAAGAGGTGGTTATTCCAGTCACTGGAGAGGTAATTTGTCCTGGAGGCCAAACAACAGGGACAAAGGCTCAAGAAATTCTTCACTGAATACATCTGGTAATTTAAACAGGAGCTTCAGCCCTGTGCACTTTCAAAACAGTTTTTCAAATAATAGTGGATTGAACTGGAGCAGACAGAATACTTCTGTGACCAACAGTAGCAGAAGTTACAGTCCTGATTTCAGTGACAATAGCTATGAAGGTGGCATTGACTTTAACAGAACTGTGCAAAATCATTCTTTGAATGCTGATAGAAGTTTTGGTGGCCCTCCCAGCAGAAACGGACAAGATATGAAAAAACAAAGAAGTAAGAATAAAAACAGTCCAGGATCTAGAAAATCTATAAAAAACAAGGGAAATTTCAGGTACCACAGATCTGAGAGTCCTAGGTATAGTCCAAGAAAACCTGAAAAAGATTCATCTGTGGTGCTGCCTTGTAAATCTGTAGGTTTAGAAAAGTCTGGGAATAAAGGTTCGAGAGAAAAGGATAAAACAAATTCATTAAACAGTAGTAGAAATAAAAGTCAAATTAACAGTGGTGCAAGCTATCAGAAAAGCAGCATGTCTGATAATAACAGTGGTGGTGTTAAAGTAGAACAAATTAAAAGTACCCCAAGGCAAAGAAGCATGTCTTCAGATTCTTCCAAGATTACTGAAAAATATTCAGCTTCGCCTGTAACCACTTTTGAAAATAGAAAAAGGACAAATTCATTAAATAATGTCAAACTGACAAGTGAGTCCAATGCTCCCAAAAAGATGGATAAAGTGAAAGAAATGGAGTCAAAGTCCAGCTTGCCTGATAGCAAGCATTCCTCAGTGTTAGCCAGAGCTGAAGCTGTGTGTAAGGAGATAAGAGAGAGACGCTTACTGAAACAGAAGCAAATTCAAGAAGCTGGGGTAGCTGAGATCTCGACAGGAAGAAATCAAATGAATCCTCTTACTGATCAGGATAACCCAGAGACAAATAACGGGAAACAGCCAGAGAAGATGGGCACAAAAGTTGACACTTTTCACAGTTTGAGTACAAATAGCAAACCAGTAGGTCTTCCAGAGCAGTCTGAGAAAAATGGTGCTGATGAAAGCTCTTCTCAGACTTTAAGTCAGTATGGCAAGCAAGCAGCTTTACCTGACACTCTGAAGAAACAGTTATGGAAAACCAAACTGGGTGGAAAGCTTTTGAGATCTTCCAGTGATCCTTATGACAAAGATACCTTGATTAAAATGGTAAATGCTCCAAGGTCCAGGAAAGACCAAATGCGTCTAGCACAAATGCTGAAAACTAAACCCCAGTTGAAGTCACAAAGGAGGTTTAATCTTGCCTTAGAACCTCCAGCAAGTGTGGACGAAACCAAAGACTTGGAGATGGAAGACCTTCCTGAAGAGGTGAGAAATCAGATAGCTCACCTCATTGAGCTAGACGTCCAAAGTGAAGACGGTCAACAAAATCAAGAGATCTCAGAACCAAATGTGGAGTCCATTTCAGGAGATCCACCTTTACAGTTGCTAGATCTATATTCTGCTTCAGTTGAGAAGAGTTTGGATACCACAAAAGATGCCTCATATATTCCCTCTTCCTCTTCACAAACTCCAATATCTACCCTGTCATCTAACATAGCTGGAAAGAGTTTGGATACAACAAAAGTTGCCACATGTATTCCCTCCTCATCCTCATCACAAACTATTTTAACTACCCATTCATCATATATAGATAATACAGATGGAAAGAGTTTAGATACAACAAAAGATGCCACATTAAAACCCCTTTCCTCATCCCAAACCCCTTTAACTACTCATTCATCTTATATGGCTGGAGAATTGGCAAAGAATTCAAACTCTGAAGGTATCCTTCCTGTTCAGCCCCAAGAAGTCACAGTCAAGAAAGAGCCAGTAGATAATTTCATAGATGAATCTCTAAACAGACTTAATGCAGCAATTTCAGACTTCAAGAAAGAGAGGGTAGCAACTGATGTCACCACCAGTAGCACTATTGAGGTCACATCAAAGAGGAAAAGAACATCTTCAGTCAATGTGAGTTTTTTTTTTTTTTTTTTTTTTTTTGGGGGGGGGGGGGGGGCTTTCATTATGTCATGAATAGTTTATTGATGAGGTTAGGGTACAGACCTCCTTCCCACTCTCCAACTGTCAGGTTCAGAATCTATTGAATATATTGAACAGTTTTTCCTCTCATTTTGCCAGCCAAAAATATCAATAACATGTGCTGTGGGACGCAATAGAAAGCCACTGTTTACATAACATCAAAAAAGTTTTCATCCTGAGCAGGTGGCATTTTTCACAATGAACCATTTGAAAGGTAATTTCACTAATAATTTTGTTTTTCAGCCAGAGGAGACTCTCTCAGAAACCACAACAGAAAAAATGGATCCAAAACGCTTCAAAATATCCAGTTCTTCTCCCTCTACTACTGCCAGTGTCAGTCCTTCATGCCTGCAGCCAGTCTGCCAAACTGAACATGTCAGTGTGGGACCCAGGCCAGAGATGGCTCTTCCTAGCTCACAGCTGGAAGCTGAAGTATTGAAGAATCTGAAAAAAGAGCCAGTTCCTGATGAACATTCCATGACAGATGCTATTACACAGCCAATAAATCAGACCCAAGGAAGTATTGACATTCCATCAGGCCAGGTCCCTGTGAGGTCTTTCACTTCTCTCTCAGGAACAGAGTCTGAACCAAACCAATTGACCCCACAGCCAGGTGCAACCTCTGCACAGGAATATCACTGTATGGGAAAGGTAATTAAACCACAGAATAGTGATTGTGGTGTAGAAAATAGTATTGAACTACTGAAATCACCACTAGCCCCAGGTCTGAGATAATACAGCTGGGACATTGAAATCTGGATCTCACTGGCCAGAAAGGTTATACAGTAATATATGAAGATTTCAATTTTAGGCATTATTTACAAGATCTGCCTACTAGTGCCAGTATCTGTGTGCCCAGTGGGAAGCACAAGAATATCACACACTGAAATCTCTTAATTAAAACTATGTATATTGATCCTACAAAATATGACCTAAGTTCATATAAATTGCACAGCAATGGTTTATTCATGCATTGGAGCATTTCCATTATAGAAAAAAGCAAGGCAATTTTGGGGTATGAATTGGGTTCTCAATGAGATAAATGTAAGATTTTGAAGAAGAGTTAAGGGTGCATTCTTGGCAATCTGTTTTAGTTCAAAACTTAAGAACACACTCAACAGACTGGGGAAAATAGACGACGATCATATTTAGAGGACAATTTCAACTGCAATATTTGATCAAAGGATTCCAGTCTAGAGCACTCTACCTCCACTACAGAGATAGTGTCTGAGATAAAGAGTGATTAGAGAGGCTTTTTATATGAAGCAGTAAGAATCATTAGGTATGCTAACATGATACAGTTTGACTGGAAATGTCCCTTCTCAGTTTCTATTCAAATTTGGCTCAATGCTGAAATGGACTTACCAGTCTTTCCCAGAGATTTGTTTTCTATATTTACATGTCAGTTAATTTTATTTCAAGGTACTTGAGATCTCATTAAAGGAGGAGGAACTGAGAAAACAAATGCAAGATGTAGATAAACATATTGAGAAGTGTGCTGTCATCTTAGAGAAAACCAGGATTAAGATGGATGTCCTCAAGCAGAAAAAAGCTGAGGTAAAAGCATGTAAACAGTTTTGTGATGCATTATAGATTATCACAATTAAAGATCTCTCTTATAAAACCCTGCATGGATGTAACATATTTGATTGTGATTCTTGACTATGATAATTCTATCATGAAAGTGATGGCCTTTCGTAGGTTTGAAAAAATATATTTTGTTGATCAATATATTTTTTATCTTTTAAAGAGCTTCTTTCAATGTATCTTTTGTCGATATATTTTTCAGCTTCTTAAAGAAGAAGAAGAACTCAGAAACTGTAGGATGCATATTTTGCATGGGGCAGTACAGAACAGTAACAAAGGAACATCAGAGTCCAGTTTTTCCCTCACGAGTGTTACTCCCAGTGTCCTGGAGCAATCAGAAGCCCCCCTGTCTGGTCCTTGCTCCAGTACCATAGAAATAGACGTGAGTGTGATCAAATCTGAGCCTCCAGATGATAGCCACTGTGAACCAGACACCAGTATGGAGCTAGGGTGGAATGTTTCTGCTGCTGACAGTTCTATTGGCCTTGGTGATCATGTGGACCAAACCAGCTCTGTCCTGTCAGTGTCACAGCTCTCAGGAACTCAGCCACCTGCTGACAGGGATTGGAGTAAAAATTTAAGGAGGAAAAAGATGGAAAGTGACAAAGGTCAGAAGTTGAAGAATGATCATTCAGAAGAAGTCGTCACCTCATCAACCACATTACCACTGTCGGAAATTGTAAAAAATAAGCAGATCACAGGTGAGAGCTGCAAGGATAGCCTTGACTTGAGTGGGACCAAGAGTGACACAAGCAAGGGGGGAAATTCAGAACTATCAAAAAAGAGGACCAAAAAGCAAGAGAAGAAAATGAAACAACTTGGTGGAATTGGAAAAGTGGGTGAGGGCAACATGGCAGCTTCCACTGAAGCAACAGAACACTCCAACCTGCCATACACTATGCAGTACATGGGAATTCTAGAAGAGAACGAGGAGTTGTCCTTAGAAGAAATGGCTGTCAATTTTGCTGAGCAACAACATGCATCGTATTTATTTCTGGAAGAGTCTGATTTTGAAAAGCAGACAAATTGCTCCTTGTCAGACAGTGAAGTTCTCCACACAGCAGAGAGATTAGTGAACAATCCAATGGTGTCTTCTTGGAATACCAATGATTCTTTCCAAGATAATGTACAGGACTCTAATTATGGAACTTTGTCCAGTAGCTCAGGGCTGTTATCTGGAAGTGAAGTTTTCAAGAAACCACCATCTCCTAAATTCTCTCCTAAATTACCTAAAAAAAGGCAACAGGAGACAGTTGTGACCAGCCCGCAAGGCAAAAATAAAACCCGTCAGATTAGCCCGTCACGCTCTTCCAAGACCCGTAGTAAAACCACTGAAAGTTCAAATAATCTGGATAGAATCACAGAGGTTTCATCAGAGGAAAATGCTGAAAACTCAAAAAGTAAGAGGAAGTGTAAAAAGAAAGTATCAGAAATTTACCCTGATCCTGCATCTCCTGTTAAGAAGAAACTAAAAACAAAACGTCAGAGAAATAGAACTTTATCAAAACCAGATGTATATGACATCAGTTCAGAGAGTGCACTAGAAGACACAGATCAAGAAATGGATAATGTTTCATCCAACTCTTATAGAAAAGTGAGAAAGGGAATGGATAAAAAGAAAAAAAGAGAAGAAACTGGCAATGATCCTATATATGTGGACTCGGAGTCAGACCAGTCCTCTGAGACAAATAGAGCAGGAACTAATCCTAGCAGCCAAGAAAAGAAAAATATCAAAAAAAGGTGAGCAGGATTATTAATATTGGGCACTATTTTTTTTTCTTATTCTATATTCATCAATATGGTGAGTATGAATTTTATGGTATTTAATTATGTTACACTTAATAAATAATACTAAATTATTAAATATTAAATTATTAAAGCCTGCAGTAGTTGCAATAATGGCAAAATTATTACTACACTATAGTGCAGTTACTTGATTTCTCCACATTTTGGTAACTTGCAGGATGCATATTTGTCCAAAGAAAGCACAGCTAGTAAAGAATGCCATGGAAAGAAATATTAGGGCACAAACTATGGACAAAACTGAGAAAGGTACCAGTCCAGATACCAGTGGAGTAATAGAGGACACTTGCCACCAGTTTGTGGTCCACAGTGCTATCTCAGCCATGCAGATCTTTGCAGGAAAACTGTATGCCGGATGTCAGGATGGTGTGAAAACTTTTGATCTACAGGTAAATAGGTGTGATTATTTCATTTCATTATTGTCCTGTGTAATTGTAATGTTTGTCTGCATTATGGAAAGGCAACGTATTCAGATTGCTCATCATTGCCTTGAAATAATTTGAACAAATTGAAAAGAACACACTCAGTATATGGCCAAGGTTTTGTTTGCTTTATATATCCATTTATTTATTTATTTTCATGTTTTATTATTTTTTGTGAGTGAAAGTAAATTTTGTTGCCCTGACTTTTTCCTTTTCTATTCCAGAGTGGTGAGGAGTTTCAGTTTTACAAGACCAGTTCCTCCAAGGTTCTCACCTCTCTCCATGTGACAGACTCTAGAACCAAGGTCCCTTTCCTTTATGTAGCACAGAGTGAGGTGCTGACTGTGTTTAATACCCAGGTAAGAGGCTGACAGAAGGTATATGATGTATACATTCACTGGCAATGTCAGTCATTATATCAGATATATGGAGTAAATATTTGAAGTTTTTAGAATGTGTAGCCTGTAATTTTAATTGGACATACTCATATTGCTCAGTAAACTAAAATAGAATAATATTGATAATACAGAGAAGTTGAATGTACCAATACTTAGAACACAGATGTTGATATTGTGAGCTCTGTAAGAAAACGCAAGCAGTAATGTGAAAGGCATGTTTTATATGTTTAAGCAACTGTGTTGTTGAAGAGACCATTTTTCTATAAATCGAAACAATAGTGTTTGAAATAAAAATTAAATCTTGCCCTGTTGTTAATGTTACAATGAGCATATTTCAAATTGCTTTTTATTTAAAAGTAAGATTTCATCTACTTTTTTTTTTTTTTTTTTTTTGTAACAATTTCAGTCTGGGAAGAAAAGAGAGGTTTCCTTTGATGGGAAAATCACATGTTTTTGTGAAGCTTGGAACTTCTTATACATCGGCTTGGACACTGGAGAAGTCAAGACCATCGACTTAAAGGTGAGAATGCTTAGTGCCAACAACCATACAAGGTCAAATGATCACAATGACCTTCAAAAGGATGTACCTTGTCCTGGATTTTAATTGTTTTGTTTTTCATCCCTTTCTCATCCCTTCTCCAATTTTGTAGATGTTTTTTTCACGCAAGTACTTTGCACTGGACTTGGTGATTTCAGCTTCTCTTGGTTTAACCTGATGATACATGTACATGCAAGTTATTAAGATTTATTTATATATATCTCTTTAGACTCAGAGACTGTCAGATTCCTTTGAGTTGGTGGACAAGGCAGTGAACAGCCTGTGTGGTGCCAGGGAGGGCTCCCGTCAGCTGCTGTGTGTGGCCTCCAGCGATGCTCTGGTCACAGTGAGAGATGCCAGGAGTGGACTACTGCTGAGGACACTCAGAGTGACCACAGGGTTACCTGTCTCACTGCAGGTAAGTCTGGATATCTGTCTCACTGCAGGTAAATCTGGATACCTGTCCCACCACAGGGTAGTACACCAGTCATGGCATGCTGTCATAGTGAAATGTCACAAAAATTTCCTTTCTTTTGATGATGTAGTTCGTGGTGGAAACAAATTTTAATGATGTAATTACTGTCTGGTGCAGAGATCAGTGATTAAACTTAAGTATTTCTCTTTTTCAGGAACACAACAATTACCTTTATTGTGGCACGTCAAAGGGATCTGTGATTGTGTTTGATGTCCAGGTAAGGATGGCATCATTTACTTTATGCCAGTAAGCCATTGAGGTTATGCCACTGACGTTGTCGAATATAAGAATCTGATGTTTGCATTTCTGTTGATGAAGATGTGTCAATGATCTGTAAAATGTTTTTTTTTCTCACTTATAGAATGGAGAGGAATTACATAGGTTCCCAGATCAGGTAGGAGCTGTGTATCACCTGCTCATCAACAATGGCTTGATATACATAGGGGGCTATGAACATCTTCTCAGAGTTTTTGATATCAAGGTAAGACAATAACTGTTTATATTCATAAAATTTCAAATATGTTCTGTGTGGCAGGTATGAATGGTGCATGAGATACATTTGACTTACATAAATAATGCAAAACATGCTCTAGAAATAAATATGCAGTCTAATTATAAAACTGGAGTGATTTTGTTTTATTAAAATGTGTGGTGAAGATGTTTTTTATTTTCATTTATCTTATATTCATTCTTATAATTTTAGACTCGTAAGTTTCTCCACCTGTATTATGGTGCTGGCAATGGTGTGGTCATTTCCTTGGCTGTGACTGATGACATGGTAGGTTGAATGTAGTCATTTTTGATGAACTGTTGAGCAGATATTTATTATTATGCCCACAAGGCAATCTTCATTATGTATGTAGCCTTTGGTCCTTTCTCTGTAATCTGGTTCAAATTTCTACTAGTCTACTTTTAAAATTTTGACAAAAAATTAATAAAAGTAGACTAGTAGTAGTGCTTTTTGTTGATCACATTGAGCTATTTACATTTGTTTTGTGTTATGATTACAGCTGTACACAGGGACTAGAGAGGGAATAGTTGAAAGTGTCAAAGTTGATCCTCATACTACACACATGTGCAAGGTACAATCTTTAAATCACCAATTAGTTTAAATGTGCAGTCTAGAAATACTCTCCATGATCAGAGCAATATTGTTCCTAATTATTTGTGCAAAGTAAAAGATACACAATTCATGATCCATCATTCATATTGGTTTGAAAACTTCTTTTTGAATCTTGAGAATATATAGATTTGTATTAAAAAAACACTTATATAGATTGGATATGATCTATTTATGAAGTGAAATTCCAGTGATGGAATTCACCAATTTTAAACATTTTTGCAGAATATCTACAAATGTGCTTAGTGATGTAATATTTCTGTCCAGTTTTCTAGTTGCGAGTATCGTTTTGGCTGCCAGAAGCATGTATTACATCATCTGATGACAGATCATTTATATCCCAACCGGCCCATAGTATGCTGTCAATGGGAGGGCTGTACTGAGTGGATATCAGTCAGAAATGGAACAGAGGTAATAATTCAAGATTTTATATATGTATGCTATGAATAGTCACTGTTATGTCAATAGTCAAATGTTATGGCCAGCTGAAAGTGACAAATGTATTCTGCAATCCTATCCTATCTCAAACTTTTTTCATAGTTCAACTATGATGCTCTGAATACAAATTTTATTGATTACAGAGCACTGTTCATTACCTTATATTGTGTGTTATCACAAATTTGAAGTAATATTTAGCCTACAATTGTTTTATTTTTTCAGAAGGCATATGAACATTTTAAGGGCCATTTGGATCTGTGAACAGGAGGGGTGTGAATTAGATCTGATTTTGTCAAAGACCAAGAAAAGATTTACATATGAGCATTCATCATATCTAGAAGAGTAAAATTTGGTAAACGTGTACATCTGCAGAGATTCATATGATGAAGTGGGTGTTTTGCTTACCTCCTCATACAAAGTAAATGATGCTGTGTGTGTTGCTCATGGTGCCTAATTAAGGACTACATAGCAATTGTATGCTTTGGTGCTTATGATACCTGATGTTTGTAATTGACATTTGGATATCATTTTCATGTTAAGAGGATTATGTGTGTCAGAGTATTTAAAATTTCCATTGTCATGGAAATGAAGTTTAGTGATTAAACCCATGTGCTGATTCAAGGATGTTAAAGATTGGAGGTGTTAAAATACTTTTTCTATTTGTTGACCTTTTGTATGTATACTTTTTTTAATCTTGACCAAAATGTCCATTTGTAAGCAGCTTGTCTCAGTCTAGATAATTGCTCAAGAGTTATTTGGGAGGCATTTTGTATTTTGTCATGTCATCTCAAATCTGCTTGTGTTAAGATTATTATTATTATTTTTTTTTTTGTCTGCTGCTGATGGCTTATTTTGGTAGTTGTATTTTCAGTTATTTAGGTACATGTATAGATATGTTTTCTGTGTCAGTAGCATTTTCTGTGTCAGTAATGCAATATGACAGCTCTTCATCTTAATGCTAGATGCTATAATGACGATAATAGAAATGTGTTGGCATTTGCTAGTAGATAACTTTCCCCAAGTCTTTATGGGGCCCTTGGGAAATGAGGAAGTGTCCTTTTTTCTTAAACAAAGTTTTATTTTGTAATATTCTGTGATTTATGTAGTTGGATTAATGCAAGGTTGCATTTCGGATTTAAGAAAATAGTAAGGCATTTGTTAAAATTCCTTTTTTTTTAAGCTGAAGTGTGAAAGAAATTGATAGCAAATAATGTTTTTATTTATTTACAATTCATGTAAATGCAGTAAACACAAGGACTTTGTCATCATGTTGATTGAATTTCTAAACTGCCATGTTGACCAAATAAATATTTTTCTAATGACTACAAAGTGCAGAATATTTATGATTTTACACCATGTCTGGTCGCCACACCACTGATTGATTTTCAAAGCTATTACCCTCGCCGGTGAAGTTAAAGCGGGAGAAATCATTAAACTCCTTGTATACCCAACACTCATTCATTTGTCTCTTTATCCGTATTCTATTCATTATTTGCAAGGATTAAAAATATTGATGACTACGCACGTGTTTTAGCCCACGAATGCCAGCTTTTTTTATTTTAGACACGTGCTACATGTACTTAATGGCATTCTTTGGGCTTTTGTGTTTCAATTTAGACTCGATAAGTGAGGCAAATGCTGTTATCAGTCTGTGGCGTCGGAATCAAAAGTTCTTTAACAGTTTGGTCTTGTGAGAATCCCCTTGATACAACGAAACTGCATTTGGGTAGTGTTTGATTTTTAATTTAAGGTGAAATTTCGATGTTGGAAAAGATCAGACACCCAGCATCCAGACCAAGTATGCTGAAGCGCAAACGCAAACTTTTTGTTGCATGAGCACATAACTGGCCTACATTCAACTACATGCAGCTGTACTTGCAGTTTTTATGTACAGACACAGATGTGTCTGTACATATTGCCATCACCTGCGTCTGTCGTCGCCGATGCCGATGCCGGCGCCGGCGCCAGTGCACNGAATAGTTTATTGATGAGGTTAGGGTACAGACCTCCTTCCCACTCTCCAACTGTCAGGTTCAGAATCTATTGAATATATTGAACAGTTTTTCCTCTCATTTTGCCAGCCAAAAATATCAATAACATGTGCTGTGGGACGCAATAGAAAGCCACTGTTTACATAACATCAAAAAAGTTTTCATCCTGAGCAGGTGGCATTTTTCACAATGAACCATTTGGAATGTAATTTCACTAATAATTTTGTTTTTCAGCCAGAGGAGACTCACTCAGAAATCACAACAGAAAAAATGGATCCAAAACGCTTCAAAATATCCAGTTCTTCTCCCTGTACTACTGTCAGTGTCAGTCCTTCATGCCTGCAGCCAGTCTGCCAAACTGAACATGTCAGTGTGGGACCCAGGCCAGAGATGGCTCTTCCTAGCTCACAGCTGGAAGCTGAAGTATTGAAGAATCTGAAAAAAGAGCCAGTTCCTGATGAACATTCCATGACAGATGCTATTACTCAGCCAATAAATCAGACCCAAGGAAGTATTGACATTCCATCAGGCCAGGTCCCTGTGAGGTCTTTCACTTCTCTCTCAGGAACAGAGTCTGAACCAAACCAATTGACCCCACAGCCAGGTGCAGCCTCTGCACAGGAATACCACTGTATGGGAAAGGTAATTAAACCACAGAATTGTGATTGTGGTGTAGAAAATAGTATTGAACTACTGAAATCACCACTGGCCCCAGGTCTGAGATAATACAGCTGGGACGTTGAAATCTGGATCTCACTGGCCAGAAAAGTTATACAGTAATATATGAAGATTTCAATTTTAGGCATTATTTACAAGATCTGCCTACTAGCGCCAGTATCTGTGTGCCCAGTGGGAAGCACAAGAATATCAAACACTGAAATCTCTTAATTAAAACTATGTATATTGATCCTACAAAATATGACCTAAGTTCATATAAATTGCACAGCATTGGTTTATTCATGCATTGGAGCATTTCCATTATAGAAAAAAGCAAGGCAATTTTGGGGTATGAATTGGGTTCTCAATGAGATAAATGTAAGATTTTGAAGAAGAGTTAAGGGTGCATTCTAGGCAATCTGTTTTAGTTCAAAACTTAAGAACACACTCAACAGACTGGGGAAAATAGACGATCATATTTAGAGGACAATTTCAACTGCAATATTTGATCAAAGGATTCCAGTCTAGAGCACTCTACCTCCACTACAGAGATAGTGTCTGAGATAAAGAGTGATTAGAGAGGCTTTTTATATGAAGCAGTAAGAATCATTAGGTATGCTAACATGATACAGTTTGACTGGAAATGCCCCTTCTCAGTTTCTATTCAACCTTGGCTCAGTGCTGAAATGGACTTATCAATCTTTCCCAGAGATTTGTTTTCTATATTTACATGTCAGTTAATTTTATTTCAAGGTACTTGAGATCTCATTAAAGGAGGAGGAACTGAGAAAACAAATGCAAGATGTAGATAAACATATTGAGAAGTGTGCTGTCATCTTAGAGAAAACCAGGATTAAGATGGATGTCCTCAAGCAGAAAAAAGCTGAGGTAAAAGCATGTAAACAGTTTTGTGATGCATTATAGATTATCACTATTAAAGATCTCTCTTATAAAACCCTGCATGGATGTAACATATTTGATTGTGATTCTTGACTATGATAATTCTGTCATGAAAGTGATGGCCTTCCGTAGGTTTGAAAAGATATATTTTGTTGATCAATATATTTTTTTATCTTTTAAAGAGCTTCTTTTAATTATCTTTTGTCGATATATTTTTCAGCTTCTTAAAGAAGAAGAAGAACTCAGAAACTGTAGGATGCATATTTTGCATGGGGCAGTACAGAACAGTAGCAAAGGAACATCGGAGTCCAGTTTTTCCCTCACAAGTGTTACTCCCAGCGTCCTGGAGCAATCAGAAGCCCCCCTGTCTGGTCCTTGCTCCAGTACCATAGAAATAGACGTGAGTGTGATCAAATGTGAGCCTCCAGATGATAGCCACTGTGAACCAGACACCAGTATGGAGCTAGGGTGGAATGTTTCTGCTGCTGACAGTTCTGTTGGCCTTGGTGATCATGTGGACCGAACCAGCTCTGTCCTGTCAGTGTCACAGCTCTCAGGAACTCAGCCACCTGCTGACAGGGATTGGAGTAAAAATTTAAGGAGGAAAAAGATGGAAAGTGACAAAGATCAGAAGTTGAAGAATGATCATTCAGAAGAAGTTGTCACCTCATCAACCACATTACCACTGTCGGAAATTGTGAAAAATAAGCAGATCACAGGTGAGAGCTGCAAGGATAGCCTTGACTTGAGTGGGACCAAGAGTGACACAAGCAAGGGGGGAAATTCAGAACTATCAAAAAAGAGGACCAAAAAGCAAGAGAAGAAAATGAAACAGTATAGTGGAATTGGAAAAGTGGGTGAGGGCAACATGGCAGCTTCTACTGAAGCAACAGAACACTCCAACCTGCCGTACACTATGCAGTACATGGGAATTCTAGAAGAGAACGAGGAGTTGTCCTTAGAAGAAATGGCTGTCAATTTTGCTGAGCAACAACATGCATCATATTTATTTCTGGAAGAGTCTGATTTTGAAAAGCAGACAAATTGCTCCTTGTCAGACAGTGAAGTTCTCCACACAGCAGAGAGATTAGTGAACAATCCAATGGTGTCTTCTTGGAATACCAATGATTCTTTCCAAGATAATGTACAGGACTCTAATTATGGAACTTTGTCCAGTAGCTCAGGGCTGTTATCTGGAAGTGAAGTTTTCAAGAAACCACCATCTCCTAAATTCTCTCCTAAATTACCTAAAAAAGGGCAACAGGAGACAGTTGTGACCACCCCACAAGGCAAAAATAAAACCTGTCAGATTAGCCCGTCACGCTCTCCCAAGACCCGAAGTAAAACCACTGAAAGTTCAAATAATCTGGATAGAATCACAGAGGTTTCATCAGAGGAAAATGCGGTAAACTCAAAAAGTAAGAGGAAGTGTAAAAAGAAAGTATCAGAAATTTACCCTGATCCTGCATCTCCTGTTAAGAAGAAACTAAAAACAAAACGTCAGAGAAATAGAACTTTATCAAAACCAGATGTATATGACATCAGTTCAGAGAGTGCACTAGAAGACACAGATCAAGAAATGGATAATGTTTCATCCAACTCTTATAGAAAAGTGAGAAAGGGAATGGATAAAAAGAAAAAAAGAGAAGAAACTGGCAATGATCCTATATATGTGGACTCGGAGTCAGACCAGTCCTCTGAGACAAATAGAGCAGGAACTAATCCTAGCAGCCAAGAAAAGAAAAATATCAAAAAAAGGTGAGCAGGATTATTAATATTGGGCACTATTTTTTTTTTTTTCTTATTCTATATTCATCAATATTGTGAGTATGAATTTTATGGTATTTAATTATGTTACACTTAATAAATAATACTAAATTATTAAATATTAAATTATTAAAGCCTGCAGTAGTTGCAGTAATGGCAAAATTATTACTACACTATAGTGCAGTTACTTGATTTCTCCACATTTTGGTAACTTGCAGGATGCATATTTGTCCAAAGAAAGCACAGCTAGTAAAGAATGCCATGGAAAGAAATATTAGGGCACAAACTATGGACAAAACTGAGAAAGTGACCAGTCCAGATACCAGTGGAGTAATAGAGGACACTTGCCACCAGTTTGTGGTCCACAGTGCTATCTCAGCCATGCAGATCTTTGCAGGAAAACTGTATGCCGGATGTCAGGATGGTGTGAAAACTTTTGATCTACAGGTAAATAGGTGTGATTATTTCATTTCATTATTGTCCTGTGTAATGGCAATGTTTGTCTGCATTATGGAAAGGCAACGTATTCAGATTGCTCATCATTGCCTTGAAATAATTTGAACAAAAGAACACTCAGTATATGGCAAAGGTTTTGTTTGCTTTATATATCCATTTATGCATTTATTTTCATGTTTTATTATTTTTTGTGAGTGAAATTAAATTTTGTTGCCTTGACTTTTTCCTTTGCAATGTTTCTGTTCCAGAGTGGTGAGGAGTTTCAGTTTTACAAGACCAATTCTTCCAAAGTTCTCACCTCTCTCCATGTGACAGACTCTAGAACCAAGGTCCCTTTCCTTTATGTAGCTCAAAGTGAGGTGCTGACTGTGTTTAATACCCAGGTAAGAGGCTGACAGAAGATATATGATGTATATCAGATATATGGAGTAAATATTTGAAGTTTTTAGAATGTGTAGCCTGTAATTTTAATTGGACGTGCTCATATTGCTCAGTAAACTAAAATAGAATAATATTGATAATACAGAGAAGTTGAATGTACCAATACTTAGAACACAGATGTTGATATTGTGAGCTCTGAAAGAAAACACAAGCAGTAATGTGAAAGGCATGTTCTATAAATCGAAACAATAGTGTTTGAAATAAAAATTAAATCTTGCCCTGTTGTTAATGTTACAATGAGCATATTTCAAATTGCTTTTTATTTAAAAGTAAGATTTCATCTACCTTTTTTTTTTGCAACAATTTCAGTCTGGGAAGAAAAGAGAGGTTTCCTTTGATGGGAAAATCACATGTTTTTGTGAAGCTTGGAACTTCTTATACATTGGCTTGGACACTGGAGAAGTCAAGACCATCGACTTAAAGGTGAGAATGCTTAGTGCCAACAACCATACAAGGTCAAATGATCACAATGACCTTCAAAAGGATGTACCTTGTCCTGGATTTTAATTGTTTTATGTTTTTCATCCCTTTCTCATCCCTTCTCCAATTTTGTAGATGTTTTTTTCACGCAAGTACTTTGCACTGGACTTGGTGATTTCAGCTTCTCTTGGTTTAACCTGATGATACATGTACATGCAAGTTATTAAGATTTATTTATATATATCTCTTTAGACTCAGAGACTGTCAGATTCCTTTGAGTTGGTGGACAAGGCAGTGAACAGCCTGTGTGGCGCCAGGGAGGGCTCCCGTCAGCTGCTGTGTGTGGCCTCCAGCGATGCTCTGGTCACAGTGAGAGATGCCAGGACTGGACTACTGCTGAGGACACTCAGAGTGACCACAGGGTTACCTGTCTCACTGCAGGTAAGTCTGGATATCTGTCTCACTGCAGGTAAATCTGGATACCTGTCCCACCATAGGGTAGTACACCAGTCATGGCATGCTGTCATTGTGAAATGTCACAAAAATTTCCTTTCTTTTGATGATGTAGTTCGTGGTGGAAACTAATTTTAATGATGTAATTACTGTCTGGTGCAGAGATCAGTGATTAAACTTCAGTATTTCTCTTTTTCAGGAACACAACAATTACCTTTATTGTGGCACGTCAAAGGGATCTGTGATTGTGTTTGATGTCCAGGTAAGGATGGCATCATTTACTTTATGCCAGTAAGCCATTGAGGTTATGCCACTGACGTTGTCGAATATAAGAATCTGATGTTTGCATTTCTGTTGATGAAGATGTGTCAATGATATGTAAAATGTTTTTTTTTCTCACTTATAGAATGGAGAGGAATTACATAGGTTCCCAGATCAGGTAGGAGCTGTGTATCACCTGCTCATCAACAATGGCTTGATATACATAGGGGGGTATGAACATCTTCTCAGAGTTTTTGATATCAAGGTAAGACAATAACTGTTTATATTCATAAAATTTCAAATATGTTCTGTGTGGCAGGTATGAATGGTGCATGAGATACATTTAACTTACATAAATAATGCAAAACCTGCTCTAGAAATAAATATGCAGTCTGATTATAAAACGTGAGTGGAGAAGATCTTTTTTTATTTTCATTTATTTTATATTCATTCTTACAATTTTAGACTCGTAAGTTTCTCCACCTGTATTATGGTGCTGGCAATGGTGTGGTCATTTCCTTGGCTGTGACTGATGACATGGTAGGTTGAATGTAGTCATTTTTGATGAACTGTTGCGCAGATACTTATTATTTTGCCCACAAGGCAATCTTCATTATGTATGTAGTCTTCGGCCCATTCTCTGTAATCTGGTTCAAATTTCTATAAGTCTTTAAAATTTTGATAAAAAAATTAATAAAAGTAGACTAGTAACATTGTTTTTTGTTCATCACGTTGAGCTATTTACATTTGTTTTGTGTTATGATTACAGCTGTACACAGGGACTAGAGAGGGAATAGTTGAAGGTGTCAAAGTTGATCCTTATACTACACACAAGTGCAAGGTACAATCTTTAAATCACCAATTAGTTTAAATGTGCAGTCTAGAAATACACTCCATGATCAGAGCAATACTTTTCCTAATTATATGTGCAAAGTAAAAGATGCACAATTCATGATCCATCATTAATATTGGTTTGAAAACTTTTTTTAATCTTGAGAATATATAGATTTGCCATTAAAAACACTTATATTGATTAGATATGATCTATTTATGAAGTGAAATTCCAGTGATGGAATTCAACAATTTTAAAAACTTTTGCAGAATATCTACAAATGTGCTTAATGATGTAATATTTCTGTCCAGTTTTCTAGTTGCGAGTATCGTTTTGGCTGCCAGAAGCATGTATTACATCACCTGATGACAGATCATTTATATCCCAACCGGCCCATAGTATGCTGTCAATGGGAGGGCTGCACTGAGTGGATATCAGTCAGAAATGGAACAGAGGTAATAATTCAAGATTTTATATATGTATGCTATGAATAGTCACTGTTATGTCAATAGTCAAATGTTATGGCCAGCTGAAAGTGACAAATGTATTCTGCAATGCTATCCTATCTCAAACTTTTTTCATAGTTCAACTATGATGCTCTGAATACAAATTTTATTGATTACAGAGCACTGTTCATTACATTATATTGTGTGTTATCACAAATTTGAAGTAATATTTAGCCTACAATTGTTTTTTCAGAAGGCATATGAACATTTTAAGGGACATCTGGATCTGTGAACAGGAGGGGTTTGAATTAGATCTGATTTTGTAAAAGACCAAGAAAAGATTTACTTATGAGCATTCGGCATATCTAGAAGAGTAAAATTTGGTAAACGTGTAGATCTGCAGAGATTCATACGATGAAGTAGGTGTTTTTCTTACCTCCTCATACAAAGTAAATGATGCTGTGTGTGTTGCTCATGGTGCGTAATTAAGGACTACATAGCAATTGTATGCTTTGGTGCTTATGATACCTGATGTTTGTAATTGACATTTGGATATCATTTTCATGTTAAGAGGATTATGTGTGTCAGAGTATTTAAAATTTCCATTGTCATGGAAATGAAGTTTAGTGATTAAACCCATGTGCTGATTCAAGGATATTAAAGATTGGAGGTGTTAAAATATGTTTTCTATTTGTTGACCGTTTGTATGTGTACTTTTTTAAATCTAGACCAAAATGTCCATTTGTAAGCATCTTGTCTCAGTTTAGATTATTGCTCAAGAGTTATTTGGTAGGCATTTTGTATTTTGTCATGTCATCTTAAATCTGCTTGTGTAAAGATTGTTATTTTGTTTTTGTGTCTGCTGCTGATGGCTTATTTTGGCAGCTGTATTTTCAGTTATTTAGATACATGTATAGATATATTTTCTGTGTCAGTAGTATTTTGTGTCAGTAATGCAATATGACACCTGTTCATCTTAATGCTAGAGGCTATAATGACGATAATAGAAATGTGTTGGCATTTGCTAGTAGATAACTTTCCCCAAGTCTTTATGGGGCCCTTGGGAAATGAGGAAGTGTCCTTTTTTTCCTTAAACAAAGTTTTATTTTATAATATTCTGTGATTTATGTAGTTGGATTAATGCAAGGTTGCATTTCAGATTTAAGAAAATCGTAAGGCATTTGTTAAAATTCCTTTTTTTTCAAGCTTAATTGTGAAAGTAATTGATAGCTAAGAATGTTTTTATTTATTTACAATTCAAGTAATTGCAGTAAACACAAGGACTTTGTGATCAAGTTGATTGAATTTTTAAACTGCCATGTCGACCAAATAAATATTTTTCTAATGACTACAGAATGCAGAATATTCATCATATTATCACCATGTTTGGTCACAACACCAGATCTTTACCATATGGACCAAAAAAAAACTATCCCCCCCCCCCCACTTGCCTTTTATCATATTAGACAATAAAGTCATTTCAGACCCCCTCATCTTTATTATGTGAGACCATGAAATCCGCTCACTCACTCCCCTTTTATCACATTAGAACATGGAAGTCTGCTCACCCCGTCCCTATATAACCATAATCATTACGGGCCATGAAGCCTGTTCACTCCCCCTCCCCTTTATCATGTAAGGTGAAGTCGGCTCACTCTCTCACCTTTAGCATATTAGACCATGAGTCCATTCGGAACGGATGATCCTCGGATTTTCTGATCCACGAACTTAATATGGGCAACCTATCATTAAAGGTAGCCGCCTATAATCTGGTCTGAATGTGTATTAGAAAAAAAGGAAAATGAACACCCCGCCGCAACACTTTCAAAATCTATTCTGACGAGAAGCACAACACATATTTAAGTCTTGCATTAAATGTGACAAAGTTGAGAGAAAGATTAGTTCTATGTTGTGACTTTTCTTACTCGGCACCTTGAAGAAATTGGAGCATGTCGAACATTAAAAAAGCATTTATTGGGTTTAATTTGTTTAAATTAACTTCTCTCTCGAAAGACCTTGATTTAAAATCCTATTTGCGTCTGCTTGATGTAAACAGAACGTTTTTATTGAGGGAGCGCAAAAAATTAATGCAACAGTGAGATCCTAGATCTGTACGTTGGTGTATTATATACGAGGATAGTAGCCGGTTTCTGATGTCCAAGTTTTTGACTTTGCAGATATCAGGATGCTGTTCAGACAAAGCACAACGGGCCTGAGTTATGTGTTCATGTTGGTAGTTCTATTAGCAGCACGAATGATTCCGTGTAGAAGTCAAAAGAAGTGTCCACTTTTTCAAATCTGTTTTGACAAGGTGTGTAGGCAGCCGACGAAAGCAGACGCAGCTAAGATTTTCCCGGGAATTTTGAGATCACCTGCAGACATAAGTGGCAAAGTAGTAAGTGGTGATGTGAGAGACATCTCTAGAATCGTGAGACCCTCTTGGGTCCTGCAACCTAGGGGACCACAGGGACCCTCATCCAGTTCAAAAGGATATAAAAGGCCGTTGGCGGGGACGTATGGGAATCTGTTTTCAAGCTACGACCCCACACAACCATATCTGATGTCACGCCAATTGACCAAAAGGCAGTCTGATAACAATAAATGCTGCGAAGGGTTCGTATTTCATTTTTGAATGTTAATAAATATTATTATAAACATTTTGTGTGATACTTGTATAATTCAAACTTATTTCATGTACTATGGTGCCCTCCGATGTGGAAAGAAATCAACAGTAATTTTAAAGTGATATAAAACAGTTGTGCAACTGTAAAACAAAATCTGTTCGTCTCTGACGTGACGTTAGTCATTTCGTTGTATTTATTTATTCATTTAATTAATTTTTATTTCTTATTTCTTAATTATTTTTTTATTATTTTCATCTATAATTTTTTTTTTTTTTTTTGGGGGGGGGGGTGACCTTTAGATTGTTAAAGTGCTTATAATGATAAAGTGAACACGTGTTCCTGGCAAATTATATGACCTCTTGCATGTATGGTTGTTAAACTATGACGATACGCGAATATACAGGGTAAGCCCCCCCCCCCCCAAAAAAAAAATCATAAAAATCTTATTAAATTCTACCAAGGTCCATAAAATTTCAAGAAATATGCGGGACTTAAACTTCAATATGTGCATGATCATTCCCCAAAGTGTCAGTTATCTTGGTCGGTTTTCATAAAGTTTTTTTTTTAAATATGCTCCAAATGGCCTCCACGGCATTGGAGGCACACTTGCATACGTCGCGAAAAAATTGTCAATTTCTCAAACACTCCTTCGGGATTTACCTGAGAGCCTGATCAGCAGGAAGTTTGATGGACCTTTCGTAGATTAAATAAAATTTTTATTGTTTTATTTTTAAGGGGGGGAGGGTCACCCTGTATAATGAAAAACTGTATTGGTAGCATTTCAGTGAATTTCTGTCCAAGCGCCGACGAATCAGGGAACTTCTTCACGGAGATGGTATCAGGAGAAATACTGACCTGGAAACCTGTGCAAGACGGTGATTGCAACAGCTTACATCCAGACGGTCTTTTCCAAGTATTCCCAATTAAAATGTGCACGTACGTCAGCTTTCTTTTTTGAAAGTCGTTCAACAAAGTATTCTAAATTTACCGCTGTTAATTATTGATTATATTGACACTAAAAAAGGGATTGAATTCTTGTAATTCTTTACATTTTTAATCGATATCAGTTATCAAACAGCATATCTTGACGTTTGGAATCAATCACCGAAAAAAGATATCAGCATTCCTTTCTACCTATATTTTAGATCTGCGACGGCGTGTGGAGCTTACATATGTATTCAAGAATTTCGGACATACAACGTATTAATGGAATGCTTCGGGACGAACTGCCCTTGTCAGCCGCTGCAGTTTAAACCTCTTGAATTCCCCAGCGCTTGTCTGTGCAGCAATGGAGCAGGTTGACCCCTCCCCAAGAAAAATTCGTTCAATTACCCAAGAAGAAATTAAACTTTAATTTAAAGGGCTTGAAGACATAATATTAATTCATTTATACTAATTTTATTTTATTTTGTTTCTATTTAATTTACTTTTATTTTCAAATGACTGGATACCGATAGAGCGGGACGTGATGTCTTCAAAATAAACCGGATAATATAAACACTCTGAAATTATTAAATTGTCGAAATAAATATATTTATCTCCCTTTGATATGATATCTTCATTTTAAAAAAGTGTCTAAGCGATAAAAATAATAATTCATGTTGCAATATTCTTTTTTTAAGATGGCAAAGAATTCCTTTAAGTAAGTAGACAAATCCAAATTTTAGCAAACATTTGGTTATTTCCCGCAGTGAATGTTTAAGCAAAAGGTTAGAATGAGATTTTTGGACCAAAAACCTCTGTGAGACAGAGAACAGAATGTTAGACCATGGTCTAATGATCTTGAACAGATAATAGCTAATGATTATTCCTCCTGTATAATGACATTTTATTATAGTGTAATGTAGTGTCTTATTATGTCTTCTTATATACATAATAAGACACTACTCTATCATGAAAGGTCATTATACAGTAGGAATTATCATTAGCTAATTATGTATATACCTGGCAAACTGTATATATTCTCCAGCGCATGCCGGTGTATAAGTTGCAACAGTTATCATAATAACTGCTCTGGTTAGCACAATGGTGTCACGCCACATTTGGTATGAAAATATTGTAAATGTGATTAGTATTTGATAACAAAAGAACAAAACCGAATCCCAGCGAAATAAAATTTCTAATTTTTAGTCACTGTGAAATGGAGACTGGTCTTAACGCTAATAAGTAAAATTTGGAATTTAAAACTCGAAAACGTTTATAGATAGTAATTTTGATGAATCGCTGCTATTTCCAGGAAAGCTGATGTTTTGCTATATAAAGGTCTAACCCGCATTGTATGCCATTGTGTTGATTTTGTATTGTTCAAGCAAGAAGTAAAATGATTCATATCTTTTCTGTATCTGTATTTTATCGATTCAGTAATAAATAATAAAATAAAACTCAATATATGTTCATTTATGATAAAAAATGGCCCCTCTCAAATCATATGTGGAGATCAGTTTTTGATACAGGAACTATTCCTTGGTTCATATCGTACTCAAATACTATCATTTATTCTTTGCACATCCCGGCTCAATATGCCCAGTAATGTCAACAGCATTTTGATTTTAACATGGCCATAAAAAGCGAAGATCGTTTGTTTGATATATATCTCAAAGCACATCATAATACGCATGTGTCAACAGTGGCACTCGTCTACGACAAGAACTTCATATGGCGGCGGCAGCTCAGGGACCTGCGTCCCGCCGTTCTCGTCTTCAAGATCAACAGCTTGGAAATAGCTGGGTGGCGGGGGCTCGTTTTCAACACTGTTACTGTCTGTTCCACGTTGTTCTGAGCCATCTCTCATTGGTGTTTGTCTCTCACGAGTGATTTCATCGTAGGACGGTGGATTGGTGAGAACCGGAGCCACGCTCTGATGGTGTTGTATCACAGCGGGCAGTTGACTAGCTTCGGCCAAGGAACTGTTGCACAAATGTGTTAGATGTGCCGTGGTAAGATCGGACAGTATGGCAAGCTGAAATTGGTTGGGATCAACCACCTGCTGTCTGCTTGCCCTGCGGGTTCGCACACGTTTACAGAGGGTTTTGATGGACATTCCCACGCCCCCTAAGAATAGAATCAAACCTAGTCCTAAGCAAATTAGCCCCAGAATATAGACCGTTACACTCAACGGCGNTTGAACTCCCATGGGCCTGAAGCCTTATGTTTGTTACACATTTTACTTACATTGGTATTACCTGTTGAGCATAATTAGAACTTGATGTTGAATTTGCAGTTTAACATAATGTACTTTTGCATCAGAATTGACAGTAGCCTATTTTGTTATTTCCTGCTTTTTGTCTGTACATTTGACAGCTTTGCTGCCTTGTTTTTTTAATGCTCATACGTTTACATATTTATCCTTATTTTATTTTGCTAATCTTATTATAAGCGTTTTTTTTTTCTGAGAAAAAACTTTATTTAGTAACCATTTTGCATAACATCCAGGCTTGTAACCTGAAATGTGGGGATCAAGTCTGAATGTGTATTAGAAAAAAAAAGGAAAAAGAACACACTGCCGCATCACTTTCAAAAACTTTTCTGACGGTAAAAACAATACATTTTTAGGTCTTGCATTAAGTGTGACAAAGTTGATAAAAAGATAAGCTTTATGTTGTGACGTTTCTTACTTAGCACCTTGAAGAAATTAGAGCATGTCGAACATTAAAAAGGCTTTTATTGGGTTTAATTTGTTTAAATTAACCTCTCTCTCGAAAGACCTTGATTAAAAATCCCATTTGCGTCTGCTTGATGTAAACAGAACGTTCCTATTGAGGGAGCGAAAAAAATTAATGCACCAGTGAGATCCTAGATCTGTACGTTGGTGTATTATATACGAGCACAGAAGCCGGTTTTGATGTTAAAGTTTTGACTTTGAAGATATCAGGATGCTGTTCAGACAGAGCACAACGGGCCTGAGTTATCTTTTCATGTTGGTATCTCTTCTATTAGCAGCGCGAATGATTTCATGTAGAAGTAAAAAGAAGTGTCCACTTTTCCAAATCTGTTTTGACAAGGTGTGTAGGCAGCCGACGAAAGCAGACGCAGCTAAGATTTTCCCGGGAATTTTGAGATCACTTGCAGACATAAGTGGCAAAGTAGTAAGTGGTGATGTGAGAGACATCTCGAGATTCGCGAGACCCCCTTGGGCCCTGCAACCTAGGGGACCACAGGGACCCTTATCCAGTTCAAAAGGGAACAAAGGGTCGTTGGCGGGGACGTATGGGAATCTGTTTTCAAGCTACGACCCCACACAACCATATCTGATGTCACGCCAGTTGACCAGTAGGCAGTCTGATAACAATAAATGCTGCGAAGGGTACGTATTTCATTTTTAAATGTTTATAAATATCATTATAAAGATTTTGTGTGATACTTGTATAATTCAAACTTATTTCATCCACTATGGTGCCCTCCAATGTGGAAAGAAATCAACAGTTATTTTAAAGTGATATGAAACAGTTATGCAAATGTAAAACAAAATGTGTTCGTCTTTGACGTGCTTATAATGATAAAGTGAACACGTGTTCCTGGAAAATCATGACCTCTTACATGTATGGTCGTTATACTATGACGGTACGCGGATATACAGGGTAACACCCCCCATCCCACCCACCCCCCAAATAAAGAATGAAAAAAGAATTCATAAAAATCTTATTAAATTCTACCAAGGTCCATCAAATTTCAAGAAATCTGCTGGACTTAAACCTATACTGGTAGCCTTTCAGTGAATTTCTGTCCGAGCGCCGACGAACCAGGGAACTTCTTCACGGAGATGGTATCAGGAGAAATACTGACCTGGAAACCTGTGCAAGACGGTGATTGCAACAGCTTACATCCAGACGGTCTTTTCCAAGTATTCCCAATTAAAATGTGCACGTACGTCAGCTTTCTTTTTTTGAAAGTCGTTCAACACATTTCATTCATTCTAAATTTACTGCTGTAAATTATTGATCATTTTGAAACTAAAAAAGGGATTGAATTCTTGTTATTCTTTACATTTCTAATTGATATCAGTTATCAAACAGCATCTTTTGACTTTTGGAATCAATCACCGAAAAAAGATATCAGCATTCCTTTCTACCTATATTTTAGCTCTGCGACGGCGTGTGGAGCTTACATATGTATTCAAGAATTTCGGACATACAACGTATTAATGGAATGCTTCGGGACGAACTGCCCTTGTCAGCCGCTGCAGTTTAAACCTCTTGAATTCCCCAGCGCTTGTCTGTGCAGCAATGGAGCAGGTTGACCCCCGCCCAAGAAAAATTCGTTCAATTACCCAAGAAGAAATTAAAGGGCTTGAAGACATAATATTAATTCATTTATACTAATTTTATTTTCTTTTGTTTCTATTTAATTTACTTTTATTTTTAAATGACTGGATACCGATAGAGCAGGACGTGATATCTTCAAAATAAACCGGATAATATAAACACTCTGAAATTATTAAATTGTCGAAATAAATATATTTATCTCCCTTTAATATGACATCTTCATTTTAAAAAAATGTCTAAGCGATAAAAATAATAATTCATGTTGCAATATTCTTTTTTAAGATGGCAAAGGATTCCTTTAAGTAAGTAGACAAATCCAAATTTAAGCAAACATTTGGTCATTTCCCGCAGTGAATGTTTAAGTAAAAGGTTAGAATGAGATTTTTGGACCAAAAACCTCTGTGAGACAGAGAACAGAATGTTAGACCATGGTCTAATGATCTTGAACAGATAATAGCTAATGATTATTCCTCCTGTATAATGACATTTTATTATAGTGTAATGTAGTGTCTTATTATGTCTTCTTATATACATAATAAGACACTACTCTATCATGAACAGTAGGAATAATCATTAGCTAATTATGTATATACCTAGCAAACTGTATATATTTTCCAGCTCATGCCGATGTATAAGTTGCAACAGTTATCATAATAACTGCTCTGGTTAGCACAATGGCGTCACGCCACATTTGGTATGAAAATATTATAAATGTGATTAGTATTTGATAACAAAAGAACAAAACCGAATCCCAGCGAAATAAAATTTCTAATTTTTAGTCACTGTGAAATGGAGACTGGTCTTAACGCTAAGTAAAATTTGGAATTTAAAACTCGAAAAAGTTTATAGATAGTAATTTTGATGAATCGCTGCTATTTCCAGGAAAGTTGATGTTTTGATATATAAAGGTTTAACCCGCATTGTATGCCATTGTGTTGATTTTGTATTGTTCAAGCAAGAAGTAAAATGATTCATATCTTTTCTGTATCTGTATTTTATCGATTCAGTAATAAATAATAAATTAAAACTCAATATATGTTCATTTATAACAAAAAATGGCCCCTCTCGAATCATATGTGGAGATCAGTTTTTGATACAGGAACTATTCCTTGGTTCATATCGTACTCAAATACTATCATTTATTCTTTGCACATCCCGGCTCAATATGCCCAGTAATGTCAATAGCATTTTGATTTTAACATGGCCATAAAAAGCGAAGATCGTTTGTTTGATATATATCTCAAAGCACATCATAATATGCATGTGTCAACAGTGGCACTCGTCTACGACAAGAACTTCATATGGCGGCGGCAGCTGAGGGACCTGCGTCTCGCCGCTCTCGTCTTCAAGATCAACAGCTTGGAAATAGCTGGGTGGCGGGGGCTCGTTTTCAACACTGTTACTGTCTGTTCCACGTTGTTCTGAGGCATCTCTCATTGGCGTTTGTCTCTCACGAGTTATTTCATCGTAGGACGGTGGATTGGTGAGAACCGGAGCCACGCTCTGGTGGTGTTGTATCACAGCGGGCAGTTGACTAGCTTCGGCCAAGGAACTGTTGCACAAATGTGTTAGATGTGCCGTGGTAAGATCGGACAGTATGGCAAGCTGGAATTGGTTGGGATCAACCACCTGCTGTCTGCTTGCCCTGCGGGTTCGCATACGTTTACAGAGGGTTTTGATGGACATTCCCACGCCCCCTAAGAAAAGAATCAAACCTAGTCCTAAGCAAATCAGTCCCAGGATATAGACCGTTACACTCAACGGTGTGACAGTCTGGAGTTCCTGCACCAAGAACCGCACCGCGACTATCAGGGCTCCAGTGAGGATGTGGAACAATCCTACCGCTATCATGCACATGGGATTACAATTTGTGGAGTTTTGAATACACTGTGTGCAGCCCCACTGTGCCTTCTCGTCTTGCTGGCGTCTCTGGCGGCGTTGCTGAGAGAACTGGTTGCCCAGTCCCTGCAACTGTAACAACCCGTATATTGAGGCTGTGTTCCAGTCCATGTTTTATACTTCTTTGTTGAAGTTGACCTAAAATTATACAAAGACATTTCTTGGAATTGATTGTTAAGTAGCTCAAATGGTGATTATATTATGCCAGAATTTGGCACACCGGTAAACCGCTGCATGAAAATGTGATGCAACATGGAAGGAATTTTCGGACCTTAAAAAATTTTTTTTTCACAAAAAAAGTCAAGTTGCTGAAATTTATAACTGGTTGAGTGTTAAACATTTTAATTGCGTCTGCCTTTATTGTGTTATTATTATTAACAAGAAACGAAGAATTATGCAGGACAAAGTTCTGCTACTTATTTTTCTAGCAGCGTATGATGATTCTTTAACTCATATAATAGAAAGCACTGGTGTCAAATGCGTCATGAAACAGATTTTGGAAGCATCTGTAATATTTTCCCCTTATTGCTCCTAGTAAACATAATAATCTTGTTCAATTTTTCATACACTGCATCCAAACGCGTTTCCAGATCATTTTCTAAATTTTTACAAAATTCATTATCATCTTTCGCCATTATGAATCGCCAGGTGTTATCTCGAATGTCAATGTTTTTTTTTTTCTTCAGCTAATGGAGTTTAAATGTCACAAGCATAAAAGTCAGAGAAATTGTTTAATTTTGATGTAAAAAAATCGCCTCTGACCTTTAAGCCGGCATCCCCTTTTCACGCTAAATCAAACAATTGATTGAACTTATCTTGTTATATATGGCTAATTTGATATCTATATGATAAGCTATTTAATTCCAAAAAGGATCTACAACAATGTACCCTTGGCAGAGACAGCCTAATCATGGGTTAAATGTTAAAGTCGGATCTATACTAGTTCAAGACAAAACCTCTGTCTGAATGCAGCATTTTTGTCATTTAAAGATATGTTACTACCACATTCACCAGTTACTGTAGTAAATACCAAACTTCAGTGTTTTTTCAGGCAGTCTGTGCAAGAGAAATATCACCTTATTACACGATGAGTTATGCTTGGTTGTTGCATATACACGTAGCCGTGCATGAGGTGAGCCAAACCACCATGAAGACCTATGATCATGTGATCCCTTATCAACCCCCTGACAGTTAACATCTCTGAATATTGAGTAATACTTGCACCCCTGAGAAATGCCGTGGGACCATGATGAACTTGTCGGGTGACGACAGCTTGTGTATTAAGGACCCTGTTAAGACAACACACCAACATACTGTAACTATAGTCGGTGATGCCTGCTGCCAGATATACTGGGATGAATAGAAATAAACTGATAAACAAATAAATAAATAGACAAATAGATAGATCTTTACATCAAACTAAGACTCTAGCATCAAAAGAGCATTTAAAAGTTAGAGAAAAGTGGATTTTGATAATGAAACCGTGGCTGTGCTTCTTTTTTTTCTATTGTCTAATTCTTCCGGAAAAAAAAAGAGATTTATAACAAAATCCCTGTATGGTGCTACAGAAAAAACGGTGCCTCCTTGCTAAGCATCAGAACATTGTGTTTCAGGTATACTTAAGATATGACAAAATTCACATTTTAGTTTATCAGTCTGCCTTGGCCTATATGTCTGTCCCTCCCTCCCTGTTTATCTTGCAGTTACTGGGCTTTAGAGGGAAGATGGCGATAATAGTTTTCAATGATAAAATCTTTATGTAGACCAAAAAGGTAAGATAGCATTTCCCTGACAATTTGAAATAATGAGCTCCTTTATTCAAACAGGTTGTTTATCATTGTCTTTGCTAAATCCCGTCTCTTATCTTAATACAGTAATGCGATATTAGGCTACGTACCCCAATGTCGAAACCGACTACGTGTTTTCTCATTATCTTGANCCCCATACAGACAATAAAATAGAGCACTCTAAAGTAAGAGTACAGTTTAAGGTTGTTCAGCCGAGCGTGGATGAGCCCGCAGTCGTGCTACAAAATTTGCTCTGGGGTATGATACTCCGCAATGCGATCTGACACACACCTTGAAAACGGGTAGCGTGGTCCGATATACCGGTTAATTCAGGATCCTTAGGTGCCGAGTCTGGTAGTTGGGAAGGCCTGATCATTGTCTTTGCTAAATCCCGTCTCTTATCTTAATACAGTAATGCGATATTAGGCTACGTACCCCAATGTCGTAACCGACTACGTGTTTTCTCATTATCTTGATCAGGCCGCATTACTCTGTGAAACTGGCAAATACAAAACGAGTAAATGAACGAATTTACGTCATCCTTATAGTTAATATGGGCCCGTTAATATGCCATTTATCTGGTCGTGTAACATAGCTACTTCATCGTTTGAAAAGAAATAAATGTCAATTTATATAGGCTACAAATATTTGAGAACTGTTTTCCCTCGTGTTCAAGATCATTTTGATATTCGCAGACTCATGCTGAAACCAATTTAGAAACAGAAAAAGATACCCTCAAACAAATAACCTTTTCAAAACAACGTCTCTTTTTGTTGTTTATCGTTTCCCGTGTAGGACGCTATTTACATTGTTTTCGTTCAGTCATGATACATGAAACGATGAGCTGCACCTCTGTAGATCTACATTCTATTTTGACTTACTTTCTTTCTTTTTTTTTAAATTAGATTCATGAAAGGCTTCCTTGTTGCACAGTCATACAAGTATGTCACCAGGTTAGTCATGACCGACAGAAATAATGTTTTCCTGCGAAGTAATAATCTATATACCGTCTCGTCCATGGGTGGCCTTTACGCCCTCTCATGACCAATTACTGTGATAACTAGTCTAGCATTTTTCTTCCGACTAACGAAGACGATAAATTTTATCAGAATGAAAGAGAAAATACAGACTATAACATGCGACAACTGCACCCTCTTATTTTCTTATTCCGTCTTTTCTTCCGCGCTATATAACATTAATACGATCATTTTAGTGCATATGTCTATAAAGTAATGGACGACAAGGTACCGCTTAATAAAGAGATACACGTCACGATCAATCAGTTACGTTAAACGTGTCAACACTGACTTGTTACCTGTGTTCAGAGCATCCACACTTAATGAAAATGTTCCTTATATCAATATATCCTGTCCACAGCGTTCAACTTGGCGGAATATTCCAGGTATATATGACACCAAGCACAGCTAGAGTGTCTCAGGTGTCGAGTACATAAGCCGGTCTCACTCAGGTAAACTGTCGTTGTCTAGTGAGCAAAAGAACCGCAGCTGTCACAGTGCCGTAATATCAAAGCCAAGCTTATAATTAAACCTTATGCAGAACAGATAAAGCTCCACACCGGTATATGAATATTAAATTTTATGCACCCAAGTCTTCTCTTTTTAGGCAGACCACAACCGCAACATCAGGAAATTATGATATGATAATGAGATGCATCTGGGATCAAATCTTAATGGATTGACGATGTGCCGGAGCAATTGTAATCGTGGCTGCATAAAGAGAGGCCTGCTTGTCTTATCGGGATAAATTAATTCCACGATAATTGATTATGCTGCATTCATTACGTCCGTTATGATAAGAGCGTGCTGTTAAGTTATATGAAGTAGGTTTACATAATGAATTAGCTGATTGTCAACATGGTGATCCCGCGGTCAGCGCAAGGTCACTGGAACGCCTTAATGGTCGTTCCGTTTTCAGTTTTTAGATTCAAGCTGTTTTATTTAGATGGAATACATTATCAGCATGTCACACGCAAACCACACTTTGTACTTCGATGCCATTACTCTTTTTAACGTTTTCACATGGTTTAACCTCCCACGGCAGACTAATCTATATTTTTCCGTAGTGTTTTCTCCTCACCTTGCTCATTAACGCACTCGGAGAACGTCAATGATTTATTGTGAGAAATTAATGTACAGTTCACACCACGGATTACGACATCATGATGCACAAACATGTGGCGCCCTATGCCGGCATCTTGGTACAGGTTAACCGTATGGAACTATTTACACCTGGCACCTTGTTATTTGTGATATGTGCAATAAGAGACATGTATAAAGAATGAGAAATGAAAAATTCCAAATTCTGTCTCAAACACTCGTGTCACGCCATCATTGAAGCCGTGCGTGAGCCTTTTTTGTTCGTATAATTATTTGTTCTTTTGTCCTGAAGGAATATCACAGCGGTCTATTACTTACTGTTGACATGGGTGTGACAGTTGTCTTGACGTGCGTTACCCAGTTTAGGGCAATGTGGACATTCATCACGCATTTTATTTTAGTTTGGCAGTGTATAGAATGGCGGACATTAAGTACGATATCGCCTGGAAAATTTCATTTCCTCACCAAAATTCCACGACCTCTTTTCTTGAAAAGTCGTACCAATCTTAATTTGTTATGTATTGTAGAAGCAATGGGCCTGCTATACTTAATTGTATTTTTCTTTTATTCGCCTTATTTTTTCTTGACATGCAAACTTATCGTTAATCAGTCTTATTAGTCAAACGTATTTTTGAAATAACAGGAAGCGTAGGTAGAAATATCGATTTTGCTAGACCTGAGCTGGTACGTACATGTATCAAACAAGCAGATCGGTGTGCGAGAAAAAAGCTGTGACGAGCTTATCACGTTTTCCCAATATCTGGATAAAGGAAACCACATATTATTTTATCTGCATAAAAAACGCGTGCATTGTCATACGCTCAATACCCAAAATTATATTTTAAGTATCAATTCAAGAAAAAAAACACCTGTGCTCATTGTGTTAAGTATCTACCGACTAACATATATCCCAAGTGCCTGGAAGGATCCAAGATAACGAAGTTGATAATATTTTTAATTTGTTGTGTTCACTTTTGGCATACTTAATAACTTCGTGACAGTCCCACTGAAAATAGCTCTACTTTCTCACCAAACCAGATAATTTAATTATTAGACCTCCCAAAAATAGGAAAGGACAAGTCTAAATTTCTTGTCAACACGAAGTTGTACCTCCTGCATAATCAGTTTTGTTTCTTTCATGTTTACACAGAACTTTAGCCTGCTTAGCATGCTTTACTTGTTAATGTATTAATTGTTGCGAACGTTAAACCTAGATGTATCTAATCTGATGTAAGTTATTTGCGGCACAGACCGCTTAGCTGGCACGTTCTCATCTAGCACAATGCATAGCTTTTTCCATCATGTTCTTTGTTGCATTTTGGGTCATCTTCACATTTAACCAAGCTCAATATATGAACATTGTCCCATTTCTCTTTGAAATGTATTATTTGTTTTCTTGTCTTTGCATGCTATTCATATAAACCGATATATATATAAATATATAGCGATTCAATATAAAATGAGATCACATGTGCTCTATCTTGTTAAGCATCAATTGGTTATCCAATCATCCAACTTCCTGTAGCCTGAGAATGCCGAGATAACGGAGTTGATTACATTTTGAAATTGTTGTGAACATTTTCGATATTAAAGATCATTTTCGTCAATGTCACAAATTTTGAAAATATCACTAATTTCATTTGGCATACATATATAAAGTAGATTTGATCATACATAAGAAATTAGTATATAGAGAGCCTGTAACATCTCTATTCTTTCGCTATGTTGGATGCTTGATCAGGTTAAAGATTCAGACTGGTACGAATGTATAAAATATTTTTTAAATTTTCTACACAACACTTGCAGTATGTGTATTTTTACTTGTTCATATATGAAAAATAAACTTTTTAGATGAGATTCTTAAGATTACACTCGCAATTGGCGTGCGCTCGTTATATTATATACCGGTAGTATGCACATTTACACGAATATCCTTATAGACTTACAAGCAATCATGCGTAATTTATTGAACTGCAAGTAATAAATCAGCACTACCCATCACCTAGCTTAATATTTCATTTTTTAACTGCCCCTTTATTTGAATACCTGCACTTGTTTGAATACATTCTCAGGTGTTTCAAAACATTCCATAGGCAAATTAGTGGTTGATTCGTCGTGGTTATTAGATATTGATAGACACAGCGCTACAAAGGCCCAAACTTCATATTTCAGTACATTTGATATTCACGTTTTATCTAGCTTAATATCACAATTTTGTCCCACTTCTCTGCAATGTATAAATTGTTTGTTTGTCTTTTCATGCTATATATTAGACCTATTATACATATATAATCGGCCCAAGACTTTATGTACACACCGATATATGTATATCGATTCAATAAAAAAACATTTGTTCTCTATGTTGTGAAGCATCTACTGGTTATCCAATCTCCCAAGTTCCCCGAAGAATCCAAGATAAATAAGTTAAGGATATTTTGAAATCGTTGTGAACATTCTCGACATAAAAGATAGGCTTATGAACGTCCCACATTTTGAAAATATCGCTACTTTCAAGTGGCAAACAAACATTCATGTAACATGAATTTGAACATACGTATGGGATTTGTATGTAGAGCCTGTATAATATATCTGTTTAACATTTTAGTGCTCGATGATGTTATTATCAGTAGCTGTAATTTTAAGATTTTTACCAAAACTGATGTATCCTATGAAAACGAAACCTATTCTCCTTAATGAAAATGTCCAAAGAAAAAAGTTAACCGGAAAGCAAATCACAGGCGAAAAAAAAAAGAACGAGTTATCTTAATCAACAGTGCTGTATGTGCACTATGCTGAATACACATAATATGCTTATTGACTTCTGGCAACGATGTTAGTCACAAAAACTAATACAACTAGTAATGGGCCAACTTCAGGCGCTGTTGATCCTGCCTTCCGCTATCATTTCTTGCAATACATTATATTAAATCGCTCGGTCTATTCGTCATTCGCTTTTAGCAATTATCTTTTTGCGCATCATACGCAGCTAGAGTAATAAACGTTGCCTAGTTGCAGCTGTTTGACTGTATGACTGTTGCACCATCATCCAACAACCAGATCTATTCGAAATTGTCATCAAACCCCCGGAGGCACCATGTCATCATGACTGTCTATTGACTCAGCAGTCACCGAGTGCAAGAACACGTCCTTGCGTTCATATCTCCGCACCCTATTGTCCACATTGAATACAGCAATGACAAATTAACACGTTTGTGATCTACTCAGTCACTGGGTTACGAACAAACGCCCAAGAGGTTATTAAACCATTATGTATTTAACCGGGCACTGGGCACATTGAGCAAAGAACACAAAACTTAAACATTGCATGAAGGGCTTGCAAAACCCTCAAAACCCAGAGCATGTTCACGGAATACAAATGGATTAAAAACACTTTCCGTTAAGTGTGCCATATGTCATTTATCTAACCTTATTTGAGAACACAATTTCCTCTTATTCGTGGCATTGATTTTATAAACTCCTACTGTGGCTAATTTTATATCCTTAGCATTAACTATCGATAGAATGTATAATTTGCTTCAGAGTATATTTAGCTACAGGGCAGCAGTATACACCGTGTCCCTCGGGACTTCTCTTATTAGATTCATGTAGAATATATGACGCAGAAAGCCACAAAGTAGGGCGCGACGAGCTATTCAATAATACGAAGAGGCACTTTCTCAACAAATCGAAAGCAATTTAGAGTTAAGGCTTGGTCTTGTATCACGGACATATAATTGTTTTAAAAGCGGTCTTGTTTTGCTGTCTATTGCGTTTTGAGCGGTTGCTTAGCTTGTAATGTCTTTTGAGTACGACAAAGAGTAATGTTGCCTAATGTCGTAACCTCTTTAAGACCTATACAGGCCGATCGATTCTTGCAGGAATCATTTGGAAAACCTCCCGTTTCATGCCGGGGCTCATCAGTGGATTATTCAAGATAGGTTGGACATAGTTTATCGATTGTGACGTAGCTGCGCTTGTAATATTGACAGTGACTTCAGCATAAACTGCTGTGCTTGTTCAGACAGTTTAGTGTTGGAAAGATCTGCACAGAAAAGGAGTGGTTTTTGAAACCTGGCAACCGAAGAGGCAGTACATGGATGGATCCACGTTTGGAATCAGGAAAGTGTCAGGAATCCGCAGCTGGCAGAGCGATGATCGTCGTGATTAGCATATTAAAAGGAGCAGATTTGGGTTAGGCGATAATACCAGAGTAGAAGATCGGCCTCATTCCAGGCAAACGGCCATTTGGAACTGAAACTGCAAATTAATATTTTGGTCTGATTGGTATAAATGTGTTTTCGACACCTGGAACGGCAATCTTCAGCTTGTTTCTGCATACGGGATTGTTAGGCCCATTATATTTAAGCTATCGTTTCTTTTTGGCGATGACTCGCAAGGTAAGCTACACTACTTAAAAATCTTGAGAGAGTTCAAAAAACATTCCACGATGTCAGCCATTAGTAAGGCGTGTGCGGAGCTGACAAATAGTATTAAAGGTTTAAGGTTGCCAACTACAAAAAGACAGGAAAACCTCCACCCGACCCGGAATCCAGGGTGTAGCAGTGGAATCGGCAGTGTTGGTGGTCTTCTCCCACAGAGAATGACCTCTGCGTCAAATGGCCATTCACCGGGTCTCCCAAAGGCGACCAAACTGAAGATTTTGCACATAAATGGGAATATTCATGCTGTGAAACATGCGAAAGATTTATGGCTGGATGATCGATTTTTAAGTCAATTCTTCTTCTATTTTTTACCCAGTGAGAGACTTGTGTTAGCACAGGTATGTAAAAAATGGCGAGACCTTCTGTACCAAGCTCAGTTTTGGCAAGGGGTGACAGCCGTGGTAAAAAGTCGAGACTGGAAGGAAGAAGACAAGATGAAGAAATTCTACCACAGCCTCCAGAAAAGAGGCTTTGATTCTTTATGCCTGGAGGGGGCAGCCGATAAAGACCTGAGTGATATGTTTGCCAACTACCCGGCATGCAGAAAACACATTCGTTCGGTCAGTTTACGCTATTCCAATGTCACAGACTCTGGCCTGGAGCTGATGTTCCAGCGCATGCAGTGCATCTACAAACTGGAGCTTTCTGGTTGTAACGAAATCACTGAAGCAGGTCTCTGGGCGTGCTTGAACCCCAAAATTGTATCCCTGACTGTCAGTGACTGTATAAACGTCGCCGATGACACCGTAGGTGCCATTTCTCAGCTTTTGCCTTCTTTGCATGAACTTGATCTTCAAGCCTATCATGTGACGGACGCGGCATTGTCGTTCTTCAGTTCAAAACAAAGTAACACATTAACTGCACTGAAGCTCAAGTCGTGTTGGGAGATAACGAACCATGGGATTGTAAATGTCGTTCACTCTCTTCCCAACCTGACAGTGCTCAGTCTCCAGGGCTGCAGCAAGATTACAGATGACGGGGTCGAGATAATAGCAGAAAACCTACGGAAATTACGCGTGCTTGATCTGTCCTGGTGTCCCCGAGTGACTGACGCCTCCCTGGAATACATCGCCTGCGATCTGTGTCTCCTGGAGGAATTAACCCTAGACAGGTGCGTATTAATCATTTGAAAGTATACGATGTACTGTATGTATCTACAGCCATTGGTATATGGCATAGGGCAGTGAAATGAGTAGGGCCCTTTACATTATATAGGGCATTGTAACGAGTGGGGCCCTATAAATTACACAGTGCATTGTAACGAGTGGGGCCCTATACATTAATATCACTTAGCATTCGTAACGAGTAGGGCCCTATATATAACATAGGGCATTGTAACGAGTGGGGCCCTATACATTACATAGGACGTTGTAACTGAGTGGGGCCCTATACATTATGTAGGGCATTTTAACGAGTGGAGCCCCATACATTACTAAGGGAATTGTAATGATTGAGGGCCATTATCTACATTGTATATGGCGGTGTAATATGTAGGCCCCATACGCCTATACATTTTATGCTTATTGAACATTGATGCTACTCTGACGGCAACTTGTCGGTAAAACATGCAAGACACCTTCCTATCTTAACTTTTGTTGTAAATAATACATTTTTTAATTTATGGCGAATTTTTCATTTTCACGTAACTATTCTTTATGTCCTAGTGGTCCTCATATTTATAGCCCTTTTATAATAGAATAACTTTCCTGTTCTTTATAAAGCCAATATTATTTAAAATTAAAGAATAAAAGGCTGGTACCATGTAAAATAAAACGTGGAACAAACTGTGTAGCTGTCAGAGAATATGTTAACTATTTAAACATTCTTAAAGGCCTTTTCGTGTTGTATATCAGGCACACTTATACAGTGACACACCTGGAGATATGACTCATTGCTTAAAACAGGATGTCTGGAACATTCAAATCAGTCTTCAATAGCGTTGCAGAAGCGTCTGAAACGCTTGGTGTAACACACGTACATGCGCATTCATATGGGTAGTTTATGTGGAAAGCATTGCTTTTTTGTGAAGAATATATATTAAAAAGGGTGGTCCTGCCACCAAGAATCCTCATGTGCGCGTATTGGACGCTACATTTGGAACCAGTTATAATAGTGTTTGGACGCAAAAAGCGGTCTATTGATCTACTTTGTATGGCCATATAGTGAAGACTAGCATATATCTCCACATTAAAACCACTCGTGATGGGAGTCTGTCGTGCTGCTCGAATTTCGAGTGATTTCACTTTTTATAGTTATGGCCACAACGAGTAGGAAGGCACCCGTGGCGATTCCATCCTCCCGTCCATGTACAAGAGGCGACAAATATGCACGGGTATTGAATTCTTGGTGAAAGCGGGATTTATAATGGCATGAATTCATTTGTAGTGATTCATTTCGAAACCTGGACTCTTATAGGCTCTTTCCATTATAAACCTAATGAAAATATGGATAAATGAGATATATAGAAAGTAACAGTTCAATAGAGAGTTGTATTTGTTCCAGTGTTCATTATATTTTATGTGGTTCCAAAAGAACAAGATCCCGTCCCTTGTGATTTTCCTTCTTTTCAAAGCCAGCTGAGCTTGCCCCGTTTTTTGCATTGTGTGTATGCCTATAGTACGAGCTCTAGGATTTGTTTTATAATTTCAAATGGTTCCCAATCTCTATTCCAAAAACTGGGCTAAAGATTTAAAGTGCATTACAATATTTTGTCATGTTTCTTTCACTTATCAAATAAAAGTGGAATATAAATTCGTTCAAAATTGAAAAATGAATATAAGAAAAGACAAACATTTTTTAAAAATATGTTTCTTCAAATAGGCCTGTTCGTATGTATTATTGCATCGTGTATAGTTACCTTCTGTTATAATAAACTGACTGATTTTGTCTTGTTCTCGGTAAGCAGCTAAAATGTAGGTTAACGAGTACAATTGAGTTCATTTCTGCCAAGTCCCATTGACATAGAAAACGAAATGTAAGTAAAAAAAACTGGTGGCACTTAAGCAACACAGACAAAAGACTATAAGACCATGTTGCACATCCCCTTGAAAACCCTTGACGGTGCTTTATGTTTTAGCATACTACCTGTTAATGGAGAATCCATGTATTATTTGAACAACTTTATGAGAATGGCGTGCAATCGCAATAATAGGTCTTATCTTTTTACTCCCAGGTGTCAGCACGTGACAGACATTGGAGTGGGCTACCTCTCCACGATGACGTCACTGGCTAAGCTCTACCTGCGATGGTGCACTCAGGTGCGAGACTTTGGACTTCAACACCTGTACACGATGAAAAGTTTACGGATGTTATCTGTGGCAGGTAGGAAACCACCCTTCCCCTACCCCTCCCTCGCCACCCATCCACATTTATTCCAACCGGATTGCTTGGTTACGTTTTATCACGTTGCTAGGTAACTCCAATCTGTTGCCACGAAAACAAAAGATGTATAAGGTAAAGTGCTTGCCATAAATATATTGTTCAGTGTCATTATAGATGAATGCTATTTTACAATATTTTAAATGACAAAAATTACAAGTTGGGGTTATTCACAACTGTTGTCATATTAACTCTCAATACTTTTCACAATAAATTGGCTGTTTTGATCTAAAATTGTCGCATTTCTAACTTAAAAGATTTTACTCCACTTAATTTAGTCTCAAAGGTTTGGTTGAACATTCTGTTATAACATCCCATCAATCACCGATTTTTGTTCAAAAGGAAACAAACTTAGAGATGACTTCTACTGCGAGATTGGTCGATTACATAGAGATGTGGTTGAATACGTTGATTTTATGTGATACTCACCACAAATAAGAATTTAAGTTGACAGAATGGTTCGCGTGGCTGCCCGCATCATTATCTAAGTTATTGGATATCCCCTTGTTGTATTGTTGCTAATGGTACCATACACTCGGTATTTTTGCCGCGATTAGGCTTTCACTGATGTTATGTATTCTCTTTGGGATAATTGAGGAAGAGGTGCGCGAAGCCTTGACATTTCAAGATGCATATGAAGCCAATTTTGCCACCAACGCCGACCAAATGCCAGCATATAGTTTCAAATAGTATAACTATGTGAATTACCAAAAGACATAGTTTAATATTACCCGAATATTTGAACGGATTTTTCTGCTAGCTTTCTATGCTGTATATAAATGGGGCAGATAAGTAGGTTAAATAGTTAAATTTATGACCAAAATTTTAAAGAAAGAAGTGTTTAAAGCTCTTTATGGTTGATCGAGTGATTTATTTAGTTTATCCCATGGCATGTCGAATTTGAGTTGTACAAGAAACTAGTAAAAGTGGTTTATATGCGTTACTGGGTGTACATGCATATGTACCTTTCATTAAATTAAGGACAGCTCCCTGTGAGTAATCTAGGTAGCACATTCCTCATGCCTGTCAATGCATCCATTCCACCGCTCACATGATTAGATAAAAAAAAAATGGAGATCGATAACTTCCACTTCTCTCTTGGTAATTTATTGATCGAGGAGTCGCACTGTATAGCGTGGCTTGGATCAGCCGAATAATCGGAGTCAAGTTTTTTTTTCTGTTTTGCCCAAGGATGTGATGAATCATTTGATTTCCATCAACAAGGCGGATGAGACGAAGAATTTATCTTGATACTGATCTCGCGGACATCCCTTGTACCATTAGAAAACAATGTCCATGATGTGAATGACTTTATTAAATTTCTTTGGCAGCATGCATTCATATTCAGCTTAAATTTCAAATTCTAATTATGAGAATAATGTTTCTAAAGGACAATTTATGTAATTAACATCTTTAAATCTGATATTTTTTGCTGTTGAGGGGTTTACATCAAAAGGCACGTTACCCTTTTTCAGATATATAAGAAACGCACGTACCCTTTTTCAGATATATAAGAAACGCACGTGCACGTTACTGCTCCTTCGGCTTAAAATAAAAAAAAACATTTACATGTATGTTCATTTAAATGCCATTACATGGCCTCATTAACACGTTTTTATGTTTTTACCAATTATATTAATTTTTAAAAAATTGCCAAATCTTAAAAGGGTTAGTAGAATGGTAAGAAATATCTATAAACTAGCCTTAGCTGGTAATAGCAGATGCTTATAAATTTGTCAATCGTTTTAGGTGCATACTCTAGGTCATATTGTTGGATAGTTTGCGTTTCGTGTCACTGCAATACTTTTTTTCAAAAACAAAAATCAAACGCTGTTTTAACTGCATCTTCCTTTGTTAACCAATTTTGCAAAAGAACTTCCGTGAAATGAAAACTCTACATGTATGCATACAATACGCTACTTAGAAGATATTATATGTCAGCATGACAAACTTGAGGCTCTTTTTCTCTTCCAATAGGTTGCAGTCAGCTGACTCCAAGTGGCATCATGGGACTTGTTCAGATGCGCCATCTGGAGGAACTGGAGGTGACCAACTGCCAGGGCGCGAGACAAGATGTTTACAAATACCTCAAAGAAAATTTGCCGAAATGTGTGATCATTCCGTAGATGTATTGGACTTGAATTGCAAAAACAAGAATAAATGTACTGGCCCTTTTTAGAAATACTGTTCCTATAACGGAAAATGATAAAAAACAATGAAACATTTTATTTGACTTGAACAATTATACTTTTCACACAGACATGCGATTTTCTTTTTCTTGAAAACGTAAAAGCGCCTATATCGAACAATTAGAACATTAATACCTTATATATTACATCTGTTTTATTGATTTGGAAGTTTCGTGGCGTATAATGTAATTGCATACTGTTAAACGTCTAATAGATGGCAGCTTTTTGATAATGCATGGATGTTACATATAAGATATTCGTTTATTAAACATCTTGCCGTATATTCCTTGCATTTAAGGATAAATGAAACGGGTCTCATTACTGCATTATGCAACCAGTAGATCGCTGGTACCATATGGATTTTAAACCAATTTTCTTGTTTATCAGTGTCATTTACGTCATTCGTCTTAGAAGTGTGCGACAAGAACCACATGTTTGATAATTGATATTTTCGAGTTCCCAATTTACCAAATATTGGTAGTAAATGGACAATAGAGCAGTTCATAATCTTTATTTATTACGCTGATGCACACTGGTATATGGTGTGTAACTGTGAACGAGCGCATCAAGTTCAAAGTCCTAGTAGTAGTAGTATTTGCGTGAATGTGTGGCAACATAAACAAATAAAAGCAATTCACAATCACAAAATACACAGAGCTTATAACCCAGGTGCTGCTTATAAATAACCGATACATGTAGGTGTCATCAATTGTCAAACATAATAATGCTATCATTATAAAGCTATAAAAATATAAAAGGGTACATTGGAGTTCCAGACATGTGGGACTGAATGTTGTAACTTGTAAGATTTAGTAAAGGAATCTAACAAAGATGCTCTGATAACATTTAAAATTAGATGTTCGACGTACTGTTTCCCGTTAAATAGTGAGCATGAGTAACTTGAAATAGAGATTTGTGAAATTTTCAACAGACCAAGTAGTTGACGAATAGAGGCTGAGTATCAGTGAAACTTAGCTACAAAGAACCAATGGTTAAGAGCCCCCCACTGTTCACTGTTCGAGTAGAGTTATTCGTATTATAAGTTTAATGGCAAAAAATTATCGCTGCTTTGACCATTTAATAAACTTAGTCTTGTATAAGTTGACAAGAACATAACAGATTTTTCTGTGAAAAGATTGAAGTGGTTCCAGGTCTTGTTCTCTGTGCATGTGCCAATTGAAATAATTCGATTATTCATTTCCTCCCACTTTGAAAGTGTGCAGATGTATGGTGTTCGAAAAAGAATCTCATTAAGACAAATATAAAGATATTCCAAAGGTTAAATGTATTCAAATGTTTTTTCTTCGAGTTCTAGTAATCTAAACATATTTAGGGATATATATAAAATGAGTTTGTTTGAATCTAGTGAGTAATTGCCATATCTCATCCCCACAAATCTGCGAATTCGCAGAACGAGGTAAGTGCAAGCTCTCAAATTACACATTATGGTAATGTGTCTGTAATACCAGGTTCTAATGAACTAATAGTTAAATTTCTACCATCACTGAAGCCTGGCATCGTTGTGTGGAGAAATGACTTTCAAGAAATGCTTTATTTATGTAACGTGTAAATTTTTCTGAGTACAGAAGTGAATTGCATCTTACAAAGGTGTTACTAAGCCTCTTTCATTTTACAGTGTATTCCAAAAATGTGCTTTAAATTTGCAAAAGAATGTAAGTCTCACAACTTATACAGAGGAATCCATCAAAGATAACGCGTCCATCTTTGTTGTCTTATTTTTTATTGACAGTAATTGTAGCCATCCCTTGGATCTTTTTTTTTTTTTTTGTCATTAAACACGTAGTGGTCAGTTGTTTTGTCAATATCAGTTGAACTTTTAGAGACTAAGAAAATAACATATGGAATACGTTAATCAATGATATATATATATATATATATATATATATATATATATATATATATATATATATATATATATATATATATGGATGATTTCAAAACAAATGAATGGATAACTACCTTAATAAAATTGACAGTTAGTTATATCTGAAAAAAAAAAAAAAAAAAACGGCCCTGCGTCTGACACATTTTGAGATCATTCGCTATTTTTTAGTCGGAATGTCACTCCCCTTCAGATTATTTCCAGAGAGAAGATGGTTTGTTTGCACTGACTACAGTAAACAAATACTTATAAAAACAAGAACAAAGCCATGGTCTGCACCCACTATGTGATACCAGTCACACGCAGTGGGCTCATTAAGACAAGAGATGAGCTCACCAACGTGATCAATATCGTCAAATCGAAATCAAACCATCGAATGCAAAATGCGCGGGCTGAAAAGCATTCATAATGTAAATGCGCGTTGGAGGTATTTTTCCTCCGACATTTAACGCAATAAAGTATGAGACATGGTTGGATATCCCAGTGTCTTTTATAAAACATTTATTCAGGTATTCCTCTGGTGGTTTGAAGTTGAACTGAACTTTATAGGCTTTCTTTACTAAGATGAACACATTTCCATAAATAATTTTACTACCTGCAAATCTTCAAACGGAAAGGCATTGGGAGAAAGATGACTGATCGATTCATGATGTTCATTAAAGTGAGTCCACTTCGCTGCTGTAGCCCGAAGCACTCGCTGATGACAAGGGTCATCTACACCTCTATCTTCGCGACCATATTCTTACACCATTGAACGCACACTCTGAGCCTATTGCCTTAATATAAAGCAAAAAACTATTTTTTCTAGAAATTTAACACTTTGCCCTAAATCACAATGTGCACCATATCCAAAACCGTTGGCAAAATTACGATTTGTAAATCCACTGTTGACTTCCAAGTTTATATTCAAAGCCATTCTCTTATTAGAGATGGAAACTGGAAAGTGTGAGTTTCACTCGTAGCGGTAAAAATGCAAATTAAGGTCTCGTGACGGGTTTACAGATTGCAAGTAAGAGATGTATTTTTCACAGATACTGAAGCTAAGGCTGCAAATGGAAGACAGACGTTACAACCGAGAACTCTATACCTATAGTCATACACACGAGAACACAACCCTCCAGCTGTTTGACAGGATAGCAGTATTATTGATCTTTGGACAAAATAAACGCGTTAGCCATTGGAAATCTCAAGAGGTCTCTGGTAAATATTTGATGAATGGTTGGAAGAAGGCCTTACATCATTCTTTTCCTCCATTCTTAATTCTAACGCGTCGCCCTGAGTAAAAAGCTCGAGTTATATGCATCACCAACGTCATCTCCAGATGGTGTGGTCCTATAATCACCGTACTGAAACCCTTAAAGCAACTGGCACCACACATTTGGTGACACTGCTTCCATATTATGTTCCATTATAACAGGAATGAAGCCACGAAAGTTAACTTAAATGTTTACAAGACGACGGTATACTAGCTTCAGTTGTTTTCATACATTGTATCGCGAGTCTACAACATATTGTGAGATAATTGGGAAGTAGCAAAGGTGATTTCAAGACCTTGCCAATATCCATAATATCGACCGTATCACTAACGTCCTCAGTTCACTGACATTATGGGTTGTGTACAACAAATATGCCGGCCATAACAAATCGTTAAAAACACTTGGGTTGAGAATAATCAAATAGTCGCCTTTAGTATGCTTAGTAAATACTCGGATTTTGGTGTATTTTAATTACAAGAACAATCCCTACATTTTCAAAATAGACGTGTCGATCTTGCCCATTAATTTTCGGAGAGTTTTAAAGATTAAGTTTACTTTAATCTTCTTTTGAGTATTTAAACATTTCTCCATAAATTGGCCCGACAATGTTGATAATAAAACATGCTTAGATAAATTTAAGTAAAGCCAACATTATTGTCTTTCAAACGCAGCAGCTGTAGCCATTATTTTCACACAAATCTTTAATAATAACGTTGGTTTTAACTTTCTGCAAACCTAAACCCCGTACCAAATAGAACCTAAATCCAGAATTTCCATTTTAAAAAACTTTTGTTGTCCAACCAGCAACAATTGCACAAACGCAATGGGATCTATTACCTATTTTTACGAGCACATTTCTCTCATAGGGTTAGACGTTCCTACTGACGCACATTTGCACACAGGCTGCGACAGGCGCTATACAACATATTCGGTGCTTTTTAATTTATTTTTACAAAATTTCTTGCAACCATTAATTCGGGGAAAAAAATGATGAAAATGATTTCATTTCGCCAACCCAAGCTCCAGAGAAAAATAGCATAAGAAAGCCTTTTTGGCTGACAATGTGATATTCTGCGTTCTTTTAGGCAAATCGCGACGTTTTTTAGGATCAGGGTATTGAACAAAACCAAACACAAAAAATTTATTCAAATCGTCCATGTCTTTTTTTTTCTCAAATTTTTTCACAAAAAGTATAAGCCTCGTTGAGTATAATGTAACTATATATATAGGCTTAGAAAAAGCTCTAACAAATCGATAGGCCATTACCACTCCTTCTCTTGGCACAGGTCTTACCCTCGCTGCTACAGTTTGTGGTCATATTCAATGCACGGTTTACACGTATTGTGTCCGGTGGTTCTCACCGGGTGCCTGGGCTCATTGCCGACTTAGAAAACGGCTAATAAAAGAAAGCCGCCGAGGAAAAAATTCCTCCGATATCACATTAGGCATACGGGCAGACACGTTAATTCCATTAATGAAAGACGAGGTTTGTGCAGATAACATGGAGTTTGACATTTTCACCATCTGATGTTGTTCCATCGTGACATGCACGTCTCATGTCGCCTCTCTACATACAAATCCATATCAGTCTCTTCCTTTCACTGTTCAACAAAGAAAGCTCAATTCTCCTCGTTACACCACAGCATTTCCTGGCTCATTTTTTGGTTACGTATTACTCCACCAGGAGAGCAATCCTAGGCCGGGCTCATTAATACAGCCCTGAAATAAAATGGGAAATCTTAGTATTATCACCAGAAACAGTTGGCATTTTGCTCGTCTATAAAAAGAGACAACATATTTGGAGAATTAGCCAAGCAAATTCACTACTTGAAAACAAGTCAAGAGTGAACTACAAACAAATCAAGTTGTTCTTGGAAAAGTGCTTGTTTATTAAAAGAGGCTAAAATTCTTTTTTCAGTAACGACCTTTAAAAGTTTCTGTCTAAAACCAACAAACAGTGTAAAAGGCAAATACATGTTGTTTCCAAATGTCATTTTTGTCACAATGGCACACCCAGTATATGACATATCTCAGGTATACAGTCACCCACAATACTCGTGTTGTACAATACCACACATTTCTTAGAAAAATAATCTATCATCTTTGACAGAGATATTATATTAAATATCAGCCAACAGCCTTATTAGCTAACAGCTCAGTGGCTACAGCCTTCAAGGTCAGTTCTGCAAATACTGGTACTAACCCAACTAAAATTGCCATTAAGTCTTTCAATACACTTTACAGTCTCCCAGTAATGAGATGGGTTGATAGAGGTTTCCTGGCAGTTGCGTTCTAATCAACCACGAAAAGTATGTTAGATGTTCTCAAATGGAAAACACTAAAGGTGATATGACAATGATAAAACAAGGCAGCAAAGCTGTCAAATGTACAGACAAAAACCAGAAAATAAAAACGCAGGAAATAGGATACTGTCAATTCTGATGAACTAATGTATTATGCTTACTGTAACTGCATAGCCAACATCAAATTCTTATTCTGCATAACACTGGATTAGGATGAAAGTAAAATGTGTATCAAGCATCAGACTAAGTTCCCATACCTAGATCAATCTAACAGGATCAATCCAACTCCAAGGGGTTTCTCACTAAATTGCTTTCAGTTTGAGAGTCTTAGGATTCTGGCATGCCAGTTTCAGTAGGCGTGAGAGACAACTAAGCCACTTACATTGATTGCAATTTAGCGAGAATTCCCATGGAGATAGATCGATCCACAGTTAGCGTGATAGGGTCTGGAAATAGTCCCTAAGGTGTCAGGCTGATAAGAGTTAAACTTTGGAAATGCCAGAATGAGGTACAGTGAAAATTACACACACA